GCTGCCCAACTGGCCCAGGATATTAGCAAAGGCCGAGTGCTTGGGATGCGATGCCGTCGCTTTGAGCTTGGCCTGCAGGCAGCGAAAGACATCCTTGTTGTTGCCCAATCGCCGTTTCATGTAGTAACTCTGGAACTCGGAGCGCTGCTGTGGAGTCCAGAAGTGGGCAGTGAGAAAGGAGCGGGGGTAATAGAAGCTGGCAATAAACAATTCGATGTATTAAACTTTCCAGGAGTGTGTTAAGAGAGAAAGGCATATCTTACACCAGGGGAAAGAACGCATAGCCCACCATGGGAAGGGAGCAGCCAATCAGAGCCGGTGCCACCTTCATCATGTCCCTGGGCATCTGCATGTACAGCTCCAGCTCCTGGCGATTCAGGGCTCTGATTCCTTGTGGCGAATCATTGGCAATGCGGGCAATCTTCAGGAAACGCTTCATGTCGCCAAAGAAGTCCTTGACGCCATCGAAGAACACCCTGTACAGCTGCATAGCCTTGGGAAAGTTCTTTTCGAGCACTTTGTCATAGTTCTTGACATAGTTGAAATAACGGGTGAATATATAGTCCTGCATGTTGTCACGCATCTGATCCCGCTTCGATTTCAGTGTGTCCAGGTCCTTGCGCTTCTCGTCGTCGGGTTTCTTGGGCGGCGGTGGGCACGAGGAGCTGCTGGGCTGCATCTTCGGCTTTTCAATGGGCTTATTGGCATCCCAGCCCGTTTCGTAGATGACCTTACCCACGCTGGTTATCTCGGCAGCCACATTACGCTTGATTTGCGGTGGCGCCGCTGCTTCGGGCTTCGTTGCGTAGTTCCTGCTGCAGAAAGCTGTTTGCCTCTTATCGCTGGCGCTGGGTAATTGAATTTTAATGCTGATTGATAATCGGGGTCAACTACTCACCTGCTGCACAGGTGAAGCAGTCGCCGGCGATCCCGGGGCCAACAGTTGGCCGGAATCGAGCCGAAACGGGCCACGCGCAGCGCCAATGCCATGCTGGAACTGCAAGTGCCAGCCAGAAAGCAGGAAGAGGCGCGTTATTACGCAACCGCCGACTCCAATGCAGGAGTTGCCCACAAAAATAAAAAAATCAAGGAGCAATTACGATTTCCTCGATTTGAACAGCTGTTGTACTAGAGATGGCACGTTACAGAGCTGCTTCACGTTTAGCGAGTGCACGTACCACAGCTTAGCGAATGCGCAAACCTATGCATCTTAACGAAAGTTGTAGCCAAGCAAATACTGCTTTACCTTAACGAAGATGTGTTATCTGTCATGTTTGTAATTATTTTTAGCTTTGTTATTTGCTTAATTTTACCATTGTAGTGCAATACCTAATAGGGAGACTCTTAATTATAAATTACTAATGGTGGATTCTGAAAACGAAAACATGCTGGAATTTTAAATCTTTGGCGCCTTCCTCGAAGCAAGCAGTGCGCACTGCTTGGCGGGAGCCTTTCTCTCGGCTGGCTGCAGAAACTGCGCTGCTGCTGCGGGAGAGCAGAAAGTGAATTTCAGTCCACCCGGAGTCGTCTGTTGCGTCGGTTGCTCGAGTCCCTTCCGTTGGCCAGCAAACTCGCGGCGGTTGCTGGTGTGTTTGTTTTCGCCTCGTAGATGCTGTCTGCAATCGAGTAGCAAAAAAAAAAAAAGACATTGAAAGCAATAAAAACCAGAGGCCAGCGCGGCAACAAGGAGAGAAATTAAGCGTTAGAGCGGCAGGAAACAAACAAAACATAATCGTAACTAATCACCAGGCCACTTTTGGCCATTTTGTGGCATAAGCGGAAACGGAAATGTGCGTTAGTTGTTTGGCAGGTCGACAGGAGCGTTGAACGTGGGAGGTGGGCGGTGAAGGGGGAACATGGCCGGAAAAGGGGGCGACAAGACCTTCAGCGGGAAATTGTAAAACTTAGCGCGTGTCCAACTTGCTTGACTTTCCACTTGTGCTTTCCACAGCGCTGAGAAAAGCGGAAAAAAGGCGGACAAAGTTACCCGAAAGAAACTCTCTAATGTCTCTTTCTCTAAGCACGTGTGTGCGTGCGTGTGTGTGCGTGTCTGTGCGAGTGTGTGCGAGTGTGTATGTGAGCGCAACGGTGCGTATGTGTACGCGTGTTTTTTCCGCTTAGCTACTATGCGACTTATTTATCTGCCACAGGATATGGGATATATCGCACACACACATATATGTTATGTTTGTGTGTATATTTAGCCAGCTGGAAAAGCTACAGTTACACTATTGACACTGGTACCCATTTGTTTGTTCGCCCCCCTACTCGTAAAAATAGAACTAACCGAGCGCCATAAATACCACCGACAAAGTGCCTGCTGGCCGGGTTTAATTGAAAAAACGTCAATATTCCTTCAGGCAACCACCCGTTGAGTCCTTGTCCGCGTCCGCATCCGCTGCCGTCCGAAAAAGTCCTTGGCCAAACTCTGTCGAAGTTCAAGGTGCTGCCATGCTGCCATGTTGGCCATATTAAGTCAATTCCCACGCCTTGTTCGCTGGGATTACATAAAGTGCCAATCTTTGCAGCAGAATGCGTTATTTATGGAGACCCATCAATATGGATTCGGCGTTATTGAATTGCCCGGCTTTGAGTTGCACTTCATGAATATTTCAGCTTAATACATTTCCATTGTGCCGGACCGAAGGGAAAACAATTTCGTCGGATTACAGCAGAATCCATTTCCACAGATGATATCACTCTGCAAACTTGAATTTCAGCTAAGCACTTGCTTGGGGCCAGTTACCCATACGTATATGCACATTTGCAGCTGCGAGTCAGCCAAATAAACATATTATTTAAATTGGTTCACTCTAAAGCCAGATATTTGTGCTTAGAAAACCTGCAAGGTATTAAATAACTTAAATAACTGGTCTGAAATACTTCGTTCGAATCTTAAATCACCTTTGAGCCGCAAATCAAAAGATCTAGCATCAAGGACTGCTAAAGAAATAATTACCCCCCAAAGCATTCATTTTGTCTAAACGTGAGGACGTGTATCTATTTTCAATTACTTGGGCAAAACTGCATGTGGATGCAGCAAATTGCGGTCGGACATGTATAATTAAATTAGGTTTGGTCGCCAGCAGGGAATGTTCGACGCCATTAATTGCTAGAGACATCCAGCAAATCCGGCAATCAATATGGTCAACACAAAGCGTAAATTGTGGTAGCTGTCTAATAACCATTGTCGCTTTAAGGCCAACGCTGTAGTTTCGAAACTATGACAACAATTAGCATAAACGGCAAACAGGCAGTCACGTAAGTGGTGTATCGTACAGCAGGCAATTTGCTGCTCACTAAATGAAAGTTGTTTAGTCCTCCGCTTTGCCGCTGCCATAAAGTTAATCATACGCACCGTTGAACCGCAGCCAATTCCATTACATGGCTGCAATTTTCAGTGCCAAGAGCACGAGGCACACACACTCACCCCAGCTTGCAGGAAAACAAATACGTGCAGTGCAAAATACATAGTAGTTGCGCGCGAAAAATCGAGAATGGTCTTGGCTCGAGCGGGAAAATGTGTTGTAATAGTTTTGGGTTTATATTTAATCTGTTTTGTGTCCCCCTAATGCAAAGCGCATGTAAGTGCACGGCAAGAGGTGTGAAACTAACGTCGAGCTGATTTTTCCAAGCCCCTCAATTACTTACACTCTACTTTGGAATTTAATAGCACTGATTGTAGATACTTGAAAGGAGAAATCGTTTTCTTGGCCAGCTTTTGCTGGCAAATCCATTCAATTGACTGGCAAAGCTCGCCTGATTCGATTTGTCAAAATTATTAGCCGCAAACCCCATTGAAATTGGCTTTTCCTGTTCAATTGTGGGGGAAAAGTGCATCGTTGCCATTCCTTAATGCCCACAAGAAGGTGGCGACAATGGCAAACGACGCTGGCGAAAAATGCAAAGCACGCGAAAATGCGTTTAAAAGTGGGCACAGCTTGGGGAAAAACTATTCGTTTCCAGGGTGCAGAGTGTGGAAAGTGAATTGTGGGGGAAACCGGGCGACGGGGTCCTTGCCGCATATGCAAATTCACTCCTGAGCTTTGCCACACACAAACACAAACACACTCTCACTCTCACTCTCGCTTTGATACTAAGAACACAGCACAGGGAAAACAACAAGAACTGCAGTGAGTTGCGGTGAGTGTGAGTGACAGCCTGGCAGACACCTTGTCAATGTCTTGCGGCTACGAATAACCCCTGTCCGCTCGGATTCCCACACTCCGGCGACTCTGCCACGCGTTGCCGAGCAGTGCTAAGTGCACTGCAAGAAAGTACGGGCTACTAGGGCAGCGCCTGGCTGATCAACAGGCGGATGAAGCTTTGCACTTTACTCCGAAGGATTCATCTTCTTAGATGATGTTGTCTTAATGTTTAAATAATAATTTATTTGGAAATGCATTTCTCATTCGATGAGGTGCAGCAGCCTAGTATTTTTGTCTGTGCATTGAGAGCTCAAAGTAACACAAACAACAGCAACAATGACAACGACAACGAGCGAGGGGCAAGCCAAGTGGCAACAGCACAGCTGACTGACTACACATTTGCATACACTGAGGTGTTTTTCCTTTCTCTTTTCTTTTGCTTTGTAGGTGGCACAAGTTTAACACGGTTGCCGCCTTTGTTTTTGGGCCTTGAATGCGCCGCGGGTGTTGCTTTAATGAATGTGCCACGCTGATGCATTTCTTTGGCAAGAATGCGAGGCACAAAAAGCATTGCCTACTTTTGTGGGCCCCAGGGGGATGCAACTTGCAGCAAGTCGCACGAATAGGATTAGCTTGGCTACAGTTTGTGTGTCCGACATCGGCAATTAGGAATTCAAAATTCTTCTGCCTCCACGAAATTCGCTAATTTCACACTCGATTGCAAAGCCGAAATGTAATTACCCAAATTGCAATTACAGTGGCGAAAAGCGCTTAAATTAATAGGAAATCCTGGTAAATGCAATTAAAAACACATTAGGAGCAAATTCTGAATTCAATTAAATAGCATTCAAATTTTTTAGAACTAATACCGCACTTTCCCTAATTTTGGTAAATAGGCGCTTCGTTATGCCGTAAAAGTTAATTTAAAATGCAGATTATAACACGTTTAGCAAAACTTATTGGCCGGTAAAAAGTTCTGACAGCTGCCATGAACTTTATTTTCGAGTTAAATTATTAAGGAGCATCACTGAACAGAATAAAATCCAATTGAATGTCCTAATAGAAACGAACACGGAAACTTTTTAATTGCGGAGTAGTAAAATTAATTCCAACTGAAGTTTATCCCGTCAAGAGAAAAGTTTTAAAAGCGTCTTCAGACTTCTGAATAATGGAAAATCGTTTAAGCACGTTAAAGTTGCACAACTTTTTAAGTGAAATGGGCTAAAAGGGTAAATTCTCTATGAGCAATGAGTAGTAAATCAATTGCAAATTTAAATCTCTGAAATAATCCTTGAAAATGCACATTCAATTGAGTTGCACAACACAATTAAAACATTTCAACAACCATTTCAGCCGCAACTAATCCGTCGGCAGTACATTTTGCACAGCTTTCCCAAAATCGATGCCCTGCGGTTGTCCACCAGCAACTATAAACTATAAACTATAGCCACGCTATGTGCGGGCCCAGATTTGCGCAATGCATCCCAGATAACCAAGTCGGCCTGTTAATTATACATGCAGGCTGGAAATGTTGCCCAAATAGGGATCTCTGAAGAGCCAGTGTGTGGGGATATATTTGGATAGTCGAGGGTGCCCAAAGGAAGTGCTGTGCAAATGCAGTCAACACCAAGGGGCAAATAAAGGCTCAAGAAGTTAAGCCGGGCAGCTGAAGTATGTGCCATATAAAGCATTCCGGCAGACACTTAAAGTCAGCACCAGTGGCTTAGGCGGGATTTTTTGAAGGGGGTGCTTAGGCATCTTCGATTCCTGAATATTTCAGTGGGTAATCCATTTGAGGGCTCGACTTCTGCATAATTCGATTAGGCGTTTGATGTGGCACTTCACACGGCAAGTGGGTGAGCTCATTAAGCTCACTTAATATTAAAAAAACCGCATTAGTGTGGCTTACGAATATATCTCTGAACTATTTGCAAGGGCTGTGTGAGTGGCTTAAAACCCCCAGGACATTTCCCACATCTACACCCCTGCCCAAGATGGATGGATAGCATATGGCTCTAGTCTCCGTTTCGCCAACGATTTGCCGGCTCAATGCACACAGATTCGCACAAACGAGTCTTGAGATTGTTGCCATATCGAGGTGGTTTCACTCAAATTTGCTTACAAAGCTGCTGGTTAAGGGGCAAACTGTGGCTTTTTCGTGGCTGTGGTGCTCTTAGATGGTCTTAGCGTGCCGCTGGGCGCGGGAAATTGAATTAAGTTTTCATTTAGCAAATACTCGTAACTTGCAGCTGCCGCAGCATATACAAATTGCATTATTTATTGCACTTTGCAGAGGCGACCGCAATATAAACAATCATCACATAAATACGTAATCAACAAGCGGCCCCCAAAAAAACAGACAGAGACTCCTTGGCAGGCGGCCAGCGCCACGGACCACCACTCACCAGCCACCACCCACCAGCCACCAGACGGCGAAGGCACCACCCAACCACCCAACCACCGAGCCACCCACCACAGCATGTAAAGGCCTGTGGGCGGTGGGAGTGGCACACACAGACAGCAGTTCGGAGGCGACTTTGGCTAGGTGTGGATGAAGCGATGTGAAGGCACAACATTTTGCAATATTAAAGAACTGCAAAGGGAAGGAGCAGGAGAAGCAGCTGGTGGCCAGGTGGTGGAGGACCATAACCTGTTGCCGACGCGTCCACAAATAGAGCGGATTGGGTGAAAGCCTGTCTGGCTGGGTGAAAGGTGAAAGCCGAGCGCCGCCACAATGGCCGTAAATGTACTGGACTACGATCACTTCGCCATCAGCGCCATCGTGGTGGGCAGTCTGCAGCTGGTCTTCTTCCTGATCAACTCCGTGCTCCAAATGGACAAGCTGACGGACTTTGCCGGCGGCGTTAACTTCATCATCATCTCCCTGCTCACCTTCTTTCTTGGCCAAATTGATCGGCCTTCGAAGGTACGTAAAAATGATTTATTATGTAGTTGAAGTATATTAAGTTTAATATTTGTGGGGGCAACTAGATTTGGAAGTTTAATTGTTAAATTTAAAGTTTATTTTTTTTAAAGTTTATTGAGGCTATAGATTAGGAATTTCTTAAACTCTTTAATGAAACATTTTCACCTGATTCATTTGGGATAGCAAGCTATTCAGGATACCAAAAAACACGTATGAAACTTAAAATGTTAAAAGGGTATAAATAATGTGTATTGTGTACTGCTGCAATGCAATAATCTTAACTCCGTTTTGCGTAATAAATTATTAAACATCAAAAACATATTAAATTGGTAAAATTGCGTTATTTTCGCAATGTCAATAATAAATATCCCATGACTGCCATCCAATTTCGTTGGAAAAGAATGCTTTGAATTGCTTTATTTGAATAATTAAAAGTTCAATATATTTAACATCTGATGTGTGCATAATTTATTGCTATAGTTCAATTTTAAACAATGCATAATTTATGTGCCTTTTTTTGTATTTTGTTTAACAGCTCGTTGGTTTTCATCGTGCGTTACTTTTTTGTTAGCGAAATTAAATTCTGTGAACTTGAAGCGTGTCCATAAACAAGTCAGCCAACTGGGCGTAAATGGGCTGCAGTTGTGGGCGGTGGGCGTTGGGCGGTGGGTGGTGGTTTCGGCTGCTGACATTGAAAACTGAGTTTTGCATACGCACGCAGTCACAGACACAGACATAGACACAGATACAGACATCAACGCATACAGACGCAAACATCCATTGCCGACAAACAAAAGGTTACGCCCACCCGCCCATCGAGGCGCACATTTCAGCTGTTGTTCCTCGTTGTTCGTTTGTTGTTTCTGTTTTATTTGTAGTTGCTCTAGGTGGTCTCTGGTAGCTGGTAGCTGGTAACTGGTAGGTACTAGCTGGTGGTAGTAACTGGTGGATAGATGCAGCTGGCACATACACATACCCACACACACACACACACACATACACAGAGGTCTCCTTCTGGCTGAGCCTGACCTTGGCATCGTGAGGGTCCTCAATCTGTCTGTCGGCATGTCCTTCCGCCAACCCAGCACGCTGCCTAAGCAGCTAAGTAAGGCTATTTGCGGCCGAAAGCAGCTCGAAGCCGCTCAAAAGCGAAAGCCAAGCCGATTGAATACAGCCTCTGCCGAATGGCCCACAGATTGCCATTGATTAAGCCAAATTGATGGCCAATTTCGCAGTTTTCCCGCTCATTAGCACGGCAGTTAAGAGGCAAATTATGTTCACCTTAATTAGTGTCTGCAGGCAATTACGGAGTACCATATGCGTAGCACTGCCTATAAAGGAACAATATTTGAAACCATCGAAGCCATACATATGAAATATAATTTCTTATCTACAATGTAGTCAAGATTGAATGCACTTCACTTAAACAGATAAAAAGGATTTAATTATCAAGTTGAATTGAAATGGGAAATTATTTTGGTTTCAATTTTCAGTGTTCATTAAACGCAGTTATCTGCTTCATTATCCTGCTTATCTAGATTGTCTTACCCGTTACTCATAGCGTAAAAGGGTATGCTGGATTCGTTGAAAAGTATTAACAGGCAGAAGGAAGCGTTTCCGACCATATAAAGTATACGAGTATATATTCTTGATTAGGATCAATAGCCGAGTAGAACTGACCATGTCCGTCTGTCCGTCCGTATGAACACCTCGATCTCAGGAACTACAAAAGCTAGAATGTTGAGATTAAGCATGTTGCACGCCCACTCTAACGCCCACAAACCCACATTTAAATTTGTAAATGTCGAACGCGACTATAGCATTCTATCTTTTTTTTAAATTATTTTGATGTGATGATGTTGTAGAAATTCAAGCAATTAAGAAATGTTCCAAGGCTGAAGCTCAAAATTCCATAACTCAACTTATCTTAATCGGATTTTAAAGTGGCATACCTCTAAATGATTCTGGCGCAATTCTCTAAAAAACTGCATTCAAATTTAAAAATTTATTTTTTATTAATTTTTTTGTAATTTTTTTGATGTGATGTAGAAATTCAAGCAATTAAGAAATGTTCCAAGGCTGAAGTTGTAAACTCCATAACTCAACTTATCTTAATCGGATTTTGAAGTGGCATACCTCTAAATGTTTCTGGCGTAATTCTCTAAAAAACTGCATTCAAATATAAAAATTATTTTTTTTTCAAATTTGTTGTAAATTTTTTCATGTGATGATGTTAAAGAAATTCCAAAAAACTAAGAAATGCCCTAAGGCTGAAGTTCAAAACTCCATAACTCAACTTATCTTAATCGGATTTTGAAGTGGCATACCTCTAAATGTTTCTGGCGTAATTCTCTAAAAAACTGCATTCAAATTTAAAAAATTTGTAAATGTTAATTTTCTACCGATTTCTACCGATATTACAGAAAATGTTGAAATTTCTCGTTTGCACTTCCACCAGCTGAGTCACGGGTATCTGATAGTCGGGACACTCGAGTATATATCGACTAAAGCATTTTATCTTGTTTTCATATAATTTAATTGAGGCCTACTTTGCGAACATTATGGCTACTTGAAACGAGCTCAGTAGAGATAAATCTACAATATTAACAAAATATGATACGCTTGAGGGACCTCTTCATGAAACAAAGCCGTAAAAGCTGTTCGTTCGGCTTTCAGTTTTAAACGCCACCCGGATGTATCGATTTACTTTATGTCTATGGCCCATGAAAGCTGGTTAAGGTCTTTAAGCCATTACCCATGACAACAGATACAAATTGAGTAATGAATTCATTCTTATCTGTTGTTGGTCTTTGCTTTCCAAACACACGGGTGTGTGCAAAAATCAACACAATGCGCTGTTCTCTCGACCGCACACATTTATGTGCATTAAATTTGTCATCCCACACGCAAAATAAACATTGAGGCATTAATTCTCGCTCGGGCACTTGAGCTATAGTTTAATTAATTTTTGTTGCCACATTGGCTATCGATCGTAAATTAAAATTAAGTTGCCGCCCCCTGCTCAGACTCAGTTGGCAATGCAAAATTTATTGGAAGCCTTGTTGCGGAAGGAGCGGGTGGGGGAGGGGTTAGGGGAAAATGGCGGTCGCAGGACGTCGACCGGAAACGGAAGTGCTGCCGTTGCTTGTGGCCGTTGTTGCATGTACTGCACTATTGCACTATTGCGCTATGCCACTATGCCAGTATGCCACTATGCAGCTGTGCTGTGATGGCCATAAAAATGGTTTAGTGCCGCCTCATGCAGTCGTCCCGCCTGTGGATGGTTTATCGCCGTTCAGAGTCGCTTAATAAATCGAGCCATAAAATGCTTGAGCCCCATGGCTGGCAGGCAGCTCAATCAATCGACAAAATGGGCAATCAAGTCCGCCCTGCGATACGACAAACCCATTAAACTATCAACTGTTTGCCCTTCCATAATGCCACACAACCCAGTGACCTCGTCCTGCCAGTGACTTTGGCTACGGTTACGGTTACGGTTACGGTCATGAACCAGGCCGCCCATTCGCTGCCATTGACAAAGCAATTTAGCAATTTTTTTCTTTTTTTCTGCATTTTTCACGACGACGCTTGACGGCTCCTCCATGAGAAATGCATTTCGGATTCAGTGCGGCCGTCAATGGCGTTTATAAATATGCAAAGTGCAGTCGACTCATTTATTATTGAACCAACCAACCAGCAAACCCGGCTGGCCATGTCCATTTTTGGCCAGTGGAGAGGAGCACCAAACCACTGGTACTCGTGCGTGCTGCGCTTTATTTATGCAAAAATTTGCATGACCACCGAAAGTGGTTTTGTAAAATAAAATATCGCAGCAAGAAGTACAAGAACATTTGACTTTGAGCGGCAAACGCGAAAATTCGTGCAAATTGCCCGTTGGCCAATGAATTTTCCTACGCTTTAGAGGTGTGGGCACCAATGGCTGGATACCCTAGGTGAGCCCAATGCCCGTTGTTATTGTATTGTAGTGAGATACCGAAATAGTTACGAGTGTGCCCACCTGTCCAAGGATAACAACCCAGCCTTGAACTCTAACTTTCCCAGAGCCTCGCTCAATTGCCTCCCGAATATTTCGCATTCGTCTAAATGGCGGATAGTAAATGTTTATTGCCGGCGCAGATGATCCAAACACCAGTTTATTGCCCAGCAACACCTTTACTATTTTGGCCTACTTCTTAAGCTTTAAAAGCTTACTAATACAACGAAAATGGATAGTTTGTGAAAGGAATACTTAACTTTATTGAAAGTGAATACGTAAGATAAAGTCATAAATAGCATGGGTACCATGCATGGTCAGTGCCAAATTGTGTATTTTTGTAGGTATTTTAGTGGCATTTCGCACTTATTTAAGGTCCTGGTAGCTTAACTATAGTTATTAACTTTTGTTCCAGGCCTACGACAGTCGGCAGCTGATGGTCACGCTCTTCGTTTGCCTGTGGGGCGCGCGGCTGTCGGGATACCTACTATATCGCATCGTGAAGCTGGGCCGCGACAAGCAGTTCGAGGATACCCGCCGCAACATCATTCGCTACGCGGTCTTCTGGACCTTCCAGGTGAGTTCCGCTGACGGAGGGCGGAGGACGGAGGAGGGAGGAGGGAGGAGGGAGGACGATGGGTGGGCCACAGAAAAATCGGTTGCGTCAGCCACTTTTCAATTCGACGCTCAATGACAGAACCTTCAACTTGCAGGTGGAAAATCAATCAAACTGTCACTAATTGACACGCGCCCACAGGTTTTGAATATTTCATATTTCAGCACCTGTCGTCCGTTTGCGCTCGACATGGCTGGTGGAAATTGTAATCTCAATGTGGCCCAGAACCAGAGGCTCGGATCCAGACCCCAACTCATACCCATACCCATACCCATACCCAGACCGTCCAACAATTAAAGCGGCATTCTCTCCGGCAGAGTGACATGACACATGTGGGCGACACCAGCTAAACGTTAAGTGGATGGGTGGGTTGGGTAGGATTGGGTGGTTGCGGGTTGATGGCTGGTGGCTAAGTGGGCGGTTGGACGCCAAGTAGGCGGTTGGATGCCAAGTGGGCGGCTGGTGGTTGCAGTCCATGGCATTGCCATTGGCATTGGCGTGCTGCATGTGGCATGTCCTGCCATCGTTTTGTCTTCATTTATTTCCCATTTCACCCGAATTCCAATCACTTGTTGCCAGTTGAAATACTGACATTGCAATCGGAGCATAACTGCCGCAATGGAAATTCGCCTGGTGAATTTGCATGGCCACTTTGCCTATATAAATTCTGGATTGATCGAAAACCCAACTTAATAGGTTACATGAAACCTAGCAAATAAGGAATCAAATCGATTTAAATATAGCACTGTTATTGGAAACATAAAGTGATTATGAATTCATGTTCTTTTTTAGGCCGTTTGGGTGTATATTGTGTCACTGCCTGTAATAATAATAAATTCACCGCGCCACTCGCAGCCGCGCGCTCCAAAGACCATGACCACACTGGACTCCACGGGCACGGGCATGTTCATCGTTGGATTGCTGGCGGAGACCTACGCGGATCTGCAGAAGTTCTCCTTCCGCCAGGATCCGGCCAATCAGGGCAAGTTCTGCAATGATGGTGAGCTGGGAATAATATACTAACTAATATTATATAATTTACAATCGTTTTAATGGAAATTGAAAAGGACTGTGGAGCGTGTCGCGGCATCCCAACTACTTCGGCGAAGTGGTCATCTGGTGGGGCATCTTTGCCATATCGCTGAACGTGATCAGTGGCCACGAGTGGGTGGCGATTGCCTCCCCCATTTTCACCACGATGATCATCCTCTTCTTGTCGGGGATTCCCCTTCGAGAACGAAGTGCCGATGAGAAGTACAAAGAGTAAGTTCAAATATCACTCTACAACACACTTTTCAACGGATCTAGTATACCCTCGTACACTACAAGTAAGGGGTATTTAGTGATAATAGTTCATAAATAAATCGTAGAGCTGTCTATTATTGAAATGATTTATTATACTATCCTCGCTTTTTCCAGCCAACTGGAGTACCGGAAGTACAAAGCGTCCACCTCGCCGCTGATACCAGTGCCTCCCGCCGTCTACGTGGAGGTGCCCAGTGCCCTGAAGTTCATCCTGTGCTGCGAGTTCCCCATCTACGACTCGATGCGCATCCAGAAGGACCTCAGTCCCTACTCGCTCTCCATAGCCCGCTCCCACTCGCACATCTAGCAGTCAGTGGCCCACTCCAGCAGTGCGGCTGGGGTGGGTCAACTGAATGCCCATGGCCACTCGGTGGGTCACTCGCTGCACCGGGGTCAGTGCTATGGGGCCAATGGCGGCGATGCCGAGAGCCACCAGAACTGCGGCGGTAGCTGCCGGAACGTGCACGTCAAATCGAATCCGTACCAGTGCGAGGCGGGCTACGGACACTATCCGGTTTGCCACACGGACGACGACACGGATGATGGTATCATCTACATGGACCGCACCCACTTCTACCATGAACAGGAGGAGCAGCCGCACCTGGCCAAATCGGTGGCGGTGCCCAGTACGAAGTGCAGCTACCTGGCCGAGGAGGAGCTGGCCTCCGACTATGATGAGGATGTGCCCGCCATCGATCTCAGCAAGGCCACCAGTGTGGAGAGCTTCGGCACTCGTGTGCAGACGGAGCATGCCGTGAATGCCGATGGGTTACCCGTAACAGTGACCACGATTTTGTGATTGCCACTTTAAGATTTGGTCCCGATCAATGTGAGGCTCGCATTGGGTTTTTATATCGGTTGTACAACAGGGTGGAACTCCTTTGCTCGAGTTTTGTACCTTTGAAATGGTTAACTTTAAACTGCTATTGGTGGCATACAAATGTCCAGCCATTTCGTTTTAGCCGTGGCTACTGGGAAGTAATATTCTGCTATAAAGAGATCAAATTTATTTATTCGCAATTTGGTAATAGAAAAATATGATGGGCACAAATAAATCAAATTTAGAAACCTAATTTCGGTGTGTAAAGGACAAAGCTAGAAGGTGAAAGCCTCCACGATAAATGTTCTTGTAAATATAATGAATAGCCAAAAAAACGTTAAAAGTGCTAGATAAGAACTTCGTTCCACCCTCTTGTACAGAATGAAAGCCAGGCTTTAAAGTGCTGGCTTTGGAATGACTTTTTTTGAAGACGAATGCCAAAGTACCGCTGCGTACCAAGCATCTTGGATAACACTCTAGTCTCTATGCTACAGTTGCTCAAATAACTAATGTGCCTCTTATGTGCTCTGCGCACCCCTAGATTGTTGCACTCCTTCAAAGTTTACGCTAGTCTCTGTTGAATCCTCGTTGCCCCACCACCCCACTTGATGAATGAACTTCAACTATATAGACCTATACCTGTATCTATATCTATATCTGTATCTATTTCCCAACTGCATATTTTCGCATCGAACCGCGAACCGCAAACCGCGAACCACACCCCACCAAACGAAAGGAATCGAATCTGAAGCCATTTAAACTGAAACATATCCGAGGCAACGGCAACCCAACCAAAAGGTCGATTTACACACACAATAAGTACAAGAATTGTCGCAGTGAATTACGATAGAGGACGTTCGATAGCCATTGTTATTTTATATACCGGAATATATATATCTGCTCATGGTAGCTAAATCGAAAACCGAAATATACGTTACCACAAATGTTCTCCATAGGTGTACGTGTACGTGTACGTGTCTGTGTCTAGTTGGTGTCTCAAATGTTAAGCAGTATTATACCTAATGAACGAATTGTACCTAATGATTATGCTGAGTATGGAAACTAATAAACGAAAGCAAAGTAAATTTATTTTATTTTGCCTGGCCTTCTTCATGCAATCCGTATGGGCATCGTATCGTATGGAATATCGTATAGATGGCCCTGGGTCATCCGTCATCCGAATTTCGAATCCGTTTGCTACCCAACCCCTGGGCAGCTCCACAGAACTCAGTATCCGTGATCGTTTCGTAGAGTTAACAACTAACTCCACAAAAGAAAAATTTAACGTAAAAAAATTGCCATACTTGCACTAGCCCCTATTTCGACTGGTTATCATTTCCAATTTATTGGAAACTAAATTTTACGAACGATAAATTCTTAGTTTGTTTTCTCGATTTCGGAACAACATTTTTTTTTTTGAAGGGTACTTTACGTGTGAAGAAAAAGTACTGGGACAATGTTCGGTAAATCGCGCCAGTTACTCTTCCGCATCTGCACTCGTTCGCCGGTGTGCCGCCAATATGCCCCGAAGTTCATCAAGCGATCCTACGCCTCGCAGGCGGTCAACCAGATGCTGCTGCTCCAGCAGATGGACATCTGTGCGGATCAGCCGTCGCGAGCCTTGGTCATTGGCGTCTATGCGGATGAGGAGGACAAGAACGATGCCGGCATTCTGACACCCGCCGGCTGGCGGTATAATCTTCAGAAGACAAATGGTCGTCTGATAGAGGTGCTCCGGATGTCGGGACCCATGCCCAAGAGGGGCGAAGCACGTCTGCTGTTCGCCGTCGAGCCGGAGCGCATTCCATATTATTCAGTGGTGGCTGTCGTTGGTCTGGGCAAGGAGTGCTTGGGCTATAATCCCTATGAGGTCCTGGACGAACAGAAGGAGGCCATCCGCAGGTCGGTGGCCGCCGCGTGCAGGATTCTCGCCGAGCTGGATACCGATCGTATTGAGGTGGAAAACTGCGGACACGCCGAGTCGGCTGCCGAAGGAGCCGCCTTGGGTATCTGGTTGTACCAGGAACTGCGCGATCCCAAGACCCGAATCTTTGTACCGGCCATCGATTTGTACGCCACCAAGGACGAAGTTTGCGACATAGAAGGATGGCGCATTGGGCTGCAAAAGGCTGCCGCGCAGAACCTGACCCGCCAGCTGCAGGAGATGCCCTCCAACCTTTTGACCCCCACTGCCTTTGCCCAGAATGTCGTCGAGGTGCTCTGTAAGTCCGGTGTCAACGTGGAGGTCAAAGTCGAGGGTTGGGCCGAGAGCCAGTCGATGCACGCCTTCCTGGCGGTGGGAAAGGCCTCCTGCGAGCCACCCATCTTCCTGGAGTTGAGCTACTACGGCACCTGTGCCGAGGAGCGACCTATCGTCCTGGTTGGCCAGGGCATCACCTACGATGCCGGCGGCTTGTGCCTGAAGAAAAAGCACGAGCTCTTCCACATGCGCGGCGACATGACTGGAGCTGCTGTGGTGGTGGCCACATGTCGGGCAGTCGCTGGACTTCGATTGCCAGTAAGGGATTTGAGACTCGTTTAGGTAGTTCCTTTATTAATCAATCCGATCCTAGGTCAATATCCGTGGGCTGATCCCTCTGTGTGAAAACGTAGTTGGTTGCAACTCCTTCCGGCCGGGTGACATGGTGAAGTCCATGAATGGCAAGACCATCGAGGTTCAGTGCACGGATCACGAGGATGTCTTGGTGCTGGCCGATGCCCTACTCTATGCCCAGAACTTCTGTCCCAAGTGCATCATTGACATCGGCACCTGCTCGGGATATATGCGCCAGTCCCTCGACGAAGCTGCATGCGGTGTCTTCACCAACTCGGAAATCCTGTGGCAGCAGATCAAGCACGCCAGTATGCACACTGGGGATCGCGTGTGGCGCTTCCCCCTGTGGAACTTCTACAGCAAGGCGGTTCGTGCCGGAGGACGCAGTGATGTCCAGAACTACGGCATCGGCCGTGGTGGTCGTCCTTGCAAAGCTGCTGCCTTCCTGCGTGAATTCGTGCCTTGTGGCCAATGGATGCATATTGTAAGTTCCGTTTTTATTGATCGTAGGACTTTGAATGAACTAATCCTTCCAGGACGCCACCAATGTGATGGTTACCAACGGCATTGATTTCGAGTACCTGCGTCGTGGAATGGCTGGCCGACCCACTAGGACTCTAATCGAATTCATTGCACAGACGATCTGCAAGGACACCGCTCCCAAGATGGGCAAGTAGGACCAAGTGGAGAGATCGGGGCATGAGCAGCTGACCGAAGATGAGAAATCCCAACGGCAGTAACAGCGCTATCACTATGTCCATTTTTGGTGAAATATTTTGAAGTCTGTGCAGGATGGATGTCTTTAGTCAAAATTTCCAACAACATTGTTCCTGGGGAAAAAAATGTTTGTTCGTTTTAAGTAAACATATTAAACATATAAATAAACTTTAAATTCACGCAAATATGTTTTTGTAAATACTTGGTTAACATTCTTATTTGGAAAACCAATCATGGCAAATATAATAATTATTTTGAATGGCAAGTGTACTTATTGCGATAATAATCATACAGCAAGGTCTAGATATTTAGGTTAATGAGTGGGTTAGCATAACATTGGTTTCCGTCTTTATTAATTTGTCCTATATATTTCCTGGATATCGTCTTTAGGTTAAAATAAAATGGTAATATAAATCTAATCTGCAGATCACGTAGGCTATACAAGATTTGGTATTGGCAAAGAGTGGTTTTATAACTTTTTGCGGAATGTATTGGATTGCTGGACGCAAAATAACCATTGCATGTTCTAGTTGCTGCTACTTTATACAATTGGCCTTATTCACGGACGACTGTGGGACATTTTCTCTAAAAGCATCGCACTAAGCAGGCACAGATTTTAAATTAAATTCACGAAGATCTAGTAACCTTATGAAGGTTTCTGTCAGTGCTACGTGGGAACTGAAACATAAGACTATATCAGTCTTATGTTTATTCGTTTCGAGGTTGAACACGTACACACTTTTAGCTAATCTGGGTGAAAAAATTTCATGAATAATTTTGAAGCGGCACAGAAAATCGAAGAGCAAGTTTTCAATCATAGTAGTATCCTTTAGCATTCCTCAAAGTTTTAAGTTGAACTACAAGCAAAATGTTTCGGTTATCTCGCAATGCCATAGCCCGGGCGTGTAGTCTCACCATTCGCCGGCCGGAGGTCGTCCGTCATCGTAGGTACGCCTCGCAGGCTATCAACCAGATGCTGCAGCTGCAGCAAATGGAGATCTGCGCGGATCCGCCGTCGCGCGGCTTGGTCGTAGGAGTCTACGCCGACGAGGAGGACAAGAACGATGCCGGCATCCTGACGCCGACCGGCTGGAAGTACAATGTGCAGAAGACGCACGGCCGGTTGCTAGAAGTGCTGCGAATGTCCGGACCTATGCCCAAGAGGGGAGAGACCCGCGTCCTATTCGCCGTGGAGCCGGAGCGGGTGCCCTACTACTCGGCGGTGGCGGTTATCGGTTTGGGTAAGGAGTGCCTGGGTTATAATCCGTACGAGGTGCTCGACGAGCAGAAGGAGGCCATCCGGCGCTCGGTAGCGGATGCCTGCCGCATACTCGCTGAACTGGATACCGACCGCATCGAGGTGGAGAACTGTGGACACGCCGAATCTGCCGCGGAGGGAGCAGCTCTGGGGATCTGGATCTACCAGGAGCTTCGGGATCCCAAGCGGCGTATTTCAGTGCCCTCCATCGATCTGTACGCTACAAAGGACGAGATCTGCGACATAGAAGGATGGCGCATTGGCCTCCAAAAGGCGGCGGCGCAGAACCTGACCCGCCAGCTGCAGGAGATGCCCTCCAACCTTTTGACCCCCACTGCCTTTGCCCAGAATGTCGTCGAGGTGCTGTGTAAGTCTGGTGTCAACGTGGAGGTCAAAGTCGAGGGTTGGGCCGAGAGCCAGTCGATGCACGCCTTCCTGGCGGTGGGAAAGGCCTCCTGCGAACCACCCATCTTTCTGGAACTTAGTTACTACGGAACCTGTGCCGAAGAGCGTCCCATTGTCCTGGTTGGGCAGGGAGTGACCTACGATGCGGGTGGCTTGTGCTTAAAGGAGAAGCAGGAACTTTTCCACATGCGTGGGGATATGACTGGAGCAGCCGTTGTGGTGGCCACTTGTCGGGCTGTCGCTGGTCTGAGGCTACCGGTAAGTTATTGGACTGCTGCATGGTATTCCTAGGATAACCATCTTGCTCTTAGGTCAACATTCGTGGATTAATACCTCTGTGCGAGAACGTCATTGGATGCAATTCCTTCCGTCCTGGAGACATGGTGAAATCCATGAATGGCAAAACCATTGAGGTGCAGTGCACCGACCACGAAGATGTTCTAGTGCTGGCGGATGCCCTGCTTTACGGGCAGAACTTCTGTCCGAAGTGCATCATTGACATTGGCACCTGCTCGGGATATATGCGCCAAGCGTTGGATGAGGCGGCCTGTGGAGTGTTTACCAACTCCGAGATCCTATGGCAGCAGATCAAGCACGCCAGTATGCACACTGGCGATCGCGTGTGGCGCTTCCCCTTGTGGAACTACTACAGCAAGGCTGTGCGTGCCGGAGGACGCAGTGATGTCCAGAACTACGGCATTGGTCGTGGTGGTCGTCCTTGCAAAGCTGCCGCCTTCCTGCGTGAATTCGTGCCTTGTGGCCAATGGATGCATATTGTAAGTTCCGTTCTGGTTAATCGTAGGACTTTGATTTGATGTAACTATTCCATCCAGGACGCCACCAACGTGATGATCACACGTGGCGATGAGTTCGAGTATCTGCGCCAGGGCATGGCCGGACGACCTACAAGGACACTCATCGAGTTTATTGCACAGTCCATATGCAAGGACACAGCTCCAAAACTTAACAAGTGATCCTTCGAACAGTGTTTTAGGTTTATTAGACGATGCCACACGTTCATCGGTATTCTTTTAACGACTGACCAACCTATGACTTCTTTAACGTTCTGACGTTTATCTAATTGGGACCACAAAATGTTAAAATTAATTCGTTTATTAATGACATACAAATTATAAGTCATGTAAAAGAAGTGAAAATGCGTGTACTTATTGGTTTTCCTGTAAGGGTGCGTTTCGAAGATTGGAGCTAACTAAAATATAGTTGATTGCTTGGTTCTTTCAGTTAAAAAACTAAGGTGGCTTTGCAAGCATTTGGGCACAAGGATCTTTTCCTGGGAGAACTGCTACGCCAATGATCCGGCATGAGCAATCACAACATTAATATCAATTGGCGGATAGTTTTGCAAGAGTTTCACATTCGAGGCGAAGTCGTTTTCCAATATTGCTTCCCTTTGGATTCTGCAAAAATTCAAAATTAGTTTTAGCTTTCTATCAAAGTTACGTTTACTTACAGTATCATTGAACAGCATATTTTTATCAGGAAATCAAAACGCTGTTCGTCCGCAAAAACGGAATCCCAAATGCGGAGTACATCTGGCAGTGGAAACTCCTGCGAGAGGAGCAGTGTGAGCCACCTGAAGCTATAGTACTGCGGATGCAGCTCTTGGCTCCTAAGCAGCTCGTAAATGCTTAGGTCTTTTGATTTCAGCATATTAGATAGCCTGGCCATCATAAACTTGATGCCGCCTTCCGCGTCGTCTAATGTTTTAATGAAAAAGTCTCTTATCTCGCTCATCAGGGCGGTAAAACAAAAGAAGCAATCAGCCTCAGCGTGGGCGCGATATGAAAGATCGGGATCGGAAGCCATAACATAGTAAATGGGTCCCACGATCTCGTTCATACCCTGGACATATCCCTGGCCGGGATTCAGTTTGGCATAGATGAACAAAATGCGTTGCACAACCTCCCAGTGAGCCTCTTGGCCTTCCTCCATGGCGGCATAGTTTTCAACAGAGCGTTTTGTAATCAAATTTATCTATAAAAAGGGCAAATAATCATTAGGTTTGGGGCATCTCGTGGTGGGCTTACTTACTTGCTGCTAAAATCCACACGGTATGCATAAAACAACACATTCTGAGCTTATTGTCTAGCACAAATCCAATCTGTAACTCACCTTTGTCATGCCCAGGCCTTTGCGTTCCACGTTCGCCGAACTGAGAACGGCGGGAACCACCCGTTCGTGGAGCCGTCGTCCGTGCTCTCCTTTGCTGTGAACCACAATTTCGCAGGGATAATCGGTGGGCTGCTGGAAGAAGGATATGTCCGGACACAAGCGCCGCACGTCCTTGTCGATTTGCAGTAGGAACTCGTTGTCATTAAAAAACGTGTTCCACGCGCTCTCGGGTCCCTCGCTCAGCGGATGATCTTGCAGGCCAACGCCCCCCGAATCGACTTTGTCCCCATCTCCACCGTCTACGCCCCCTCCATTACTCGAGTGCCCTGGGGGCAGGACTAGCTCCTCGATGAACTGTTTGTACAGGGCTCGCTTTTGGGCCAGGGTCGTGGTCCAACTACTGCGCCTGGGCCCCAAGTACCCCAGGAGTAGCTTCCAACTAAGTGCTCGAAAACTCTGCACGTCGGGCACACCTGTGGATTGTTCAGACTTCAAATATTGCTACTTTCAAATGTACTTATAGCTTTCTACCATTAAAGGCCAGCTTCCTGAGTTGTTTCAGGTCAATTAAATCCTGTGGCCCCGTCAAAACATCCTCGAATTCCTTGACTCTGCAATTTGGTAAGAGAAAGTCTTTGTTTATGGGCACTTTGAATTAGCTTCGAAAATCAACTTACCGCGCCTTGAAAATAGACATTTGGCGGCCTTATGTGAGCGGGGCTATGCTGGGTCCTTGCAGTACCCCTATATGTATTTAATTAAAGCTTTATCTCCGTTTAATGCTGGGTGAAACCTGCAGATAAAAAACACAACAAAACGACGGGGTTGCCAGATGGTGCTAGCTCTGATAGAATGCTCGCTGCGACTATCGATGTTTGGTGCATTGCGCGGCAAAATTCAAAACACGAAATCTGGCAACGATCCAAACAAATTATTTACCCATAAAAATCAGCTAGGGAAAAATGATTTAAAACTATTTAATACGCAGTTGTGTTTTCCTTTTAAAAATCGATTTAATTACACATTATATATTTTATATTTTTATTTATACTATATTGTACTTTTTAATCAATTCTGATTCTGTTCGAGTTTCAACCCAATGCTGACCATTTAATGAAGATTGTTCGATATTGTTTGTAAATAAGCTAATTTGTCATGTCGCTACACTGACTAAAACACCAATTTATCCATTCATAATTCTCCAGCTCTCACTTTTTCACTAGCTTTTGAATGATTAATAATTGCTTGCGCTCATTTCCTCGCATTTTTCCTACGCTTTTATTTGATTTTTCAATTGCCTAGTAGTGCACACACACACGCAGTCGCGAGCAGACGCGTTCGAATCGTAGAATTTAGCGCATATTTCTGAATGTGCGGGGCATTTCTTTTGTTTACTCTAGTCGCTGGCCAGCAATGACGACCAGCAGATCATCGGCGTCCGCGTCATTCACTCGACCGGCTTTCTGGAAGGTGCCCGGTTACGAACTGCCCTCGTCCTACCGCCCACAGCCGCCACCAAAACCGCCGCTTGTACCGCTGCCATCCCCCTGCAGACGGCGCAGCAGCAGCGGTCTGAAGAAGCGCGTCCGTTTTGCCGATGAACAAAATGTGGGGGTGAGTCCGCTGTGGCCGAGAAAAGTGAAAAAACCCCATTTCCCCTTTTAAATCGGCGGCTTGTCAATCATCGCACGGGTGTTCTTATTCGTGTGCCATGTATATGTGGCCCCAATTCACACCAGGCCGACTCAGAAATCAGTTCAATAACATTTCGCCCCTGGCGGCTCGTAAATTTGTCAAGCCAAAGCTAATTAATTGGCCACTGCTGCACTTTTCGGTCAAGTAAAATGGCCCAAAAAAGATGGATGGATCTATATTTCCATTGGCACGACTTTTATGCCATTTCAAATGCGCTGTGTAAAGATTTTTAAATGATTTACAATCCGCTCAAGGCTGATCTAGAGCAAAAGTCACCCTAAAAGCATTACATGAATTCCAATGGAAAATGAAATGAAAACAATTCAAGCCGCAAATAGCAGAAACTTTTCAAAAACCAGCCAAAAAGTGCCGAAATCAGAATGTATAAAATGAAAAATGAAATGGCAAGCCATATATTGTGTATATATGAACATACTTTCAGCGGAAAGCCGAGCGGCAGGAAAACATTTTCCGCTGTAAACAGTAAAATTGTTGCCAAAATCGAGAGGCAGACTAGAATGTTTAATACAAACCAACGTCCTTCAACCGTTGACCCGTGCACATTGCTCATACGTCACGTTGACCGTAGACTTTTCCATTGACTAATGCAATATAAATCTGATATGATTAGCTTGTTTAAATTGGGCAAGAGTGGCGAATTTGTTGCTTCGATTCTGCTAGTACCGCCTCAGTAAATAAATTTAATTACACTCTCTCTATGGGTTGCCTCATCGTTGGGCAAACAAGTCGGGGGAAAAAAAAAACAGCAATAAAATGCTGAAATTGTCGGGGAAAAACAGATGCCTAGAAACTTGATTTTTATGCTTTGCATCGTGCAAGCTCATCAAAGCATTCGCCCAGATGATGATATGTGGCATTCATTTCTTCAGGGTCGACGTGCAACTGGATCAAGTGCTGCCCTAAAATGTGGTCAACGAAATGCAGAATGCCACAAATGCAGGGCACACGTCAAACTAAACAATGGGAACAATGGGGAGAAGGGTTTGAGTTTGTGGTGGTTTTTGGATGCTCTATTGGATTGGGCGATATATAATAGGGATCCATTTGTTCAAGTGCTAGTTGGGAATATTATGTCTTCAAAAACATGGCATGTATGCCAAGCAATCGTGCTCATTACCACTGCGTATGCGTAATTTGATATGCAACCGCTTATCAAGTATACGCCCAGTTACCTTCTGTTAATTATGAGTTCTGCAGAGATGTTTGTTTTTTTGAATCCACGACATCCTCTCTGAGAAATTGAGAGTACTCTTAGCGGAAAAACCATTTAACAATTAGGATTCGCCAATCGAATTCATGTTTCTCAGCATGTAGTCGCCTTTGCCGGCGGATATAAGTTGTATATGTATGTGTAAGAAGCTGATTTGTGGCGCAGTGTACTCTGCTGCCGCTGCTGTTGCTGCAAAAAGGAATACGAATTGTATTTTAAAATTAGTACTTGAGCAGCTTTGCGATCGAACAAAACGCTTAACGGATTGCAATCTCGCGCCGCCTGCGCCTCGCAGGCCACAAAAAAACAAACAAATAATAAAATATATACATATTTTCGGGATAATCCATCGTTTGGATGAGCCTCTGAGCTGACCACGATCGTCTTGCAACATCTCCAACAGCAGGATGAGCCCCAAGCTGCATGAGTTCGCGGTGGTGCTACTGCGCGATGGACAGGCCACGCCCTGGGGCATCCGTTTGGTAGGCGGCAACGATCTGGACACGCCGCTTATCATTACCAGGGTAAATAACCAGAGAGTTATATAACCAGAGAGACTGTCGCCTTGTGGCCGCTTGTGGTCCATTCATCAAAATTGAGGCACAGACGAAATGGCAGAGGAAAAGCGATTGGCCTTTGTGCCCCCGCCTGCCGCTTTGTACTCAGCGCCCAAATACTCGTAAACAAAAACAAATGAAAATAGCGAAACGGGCACAGCAACAATAAACACTGCAGCGTTGCCAAAATGCGACGCCAGTAAAACTAATTGAGGCGCAACAAAATAGTCGATGCAATTTTCCACTTTTCCTTACCCGCTCTCCCTGAGCTGCAATGTAAACACACACAATCTGGCGATCATAATTCTGTCTGCATCTATTTAGGCACCCATAAATCTATGTCAAGGCTGCGCCCTATAGTGTGTGTGTGTGTGAAATGACCTTGCCACATGCTTTTCAACCCCTCCCGTTGCAGGTGCAAGCGGGCAGCCCAGCGCAGGGCGAACTGCTCCGTGGCGATATCATCTCGAAGATCGGCGAGTACGATGCACGCGACCTGAGTCATGCGGATGCACAGCATCTGTTCCGCGGTGCTGGCAACGAGATTCGCCTGGTGGTGCACAGGTGAGCCAGGAAGTCCGCGTAAATGCACGCAGCAAACGGCGATACCAGAGATCAGTTCCGTATGTTGTTTAGTTATTCACACTACAAAGAACTTCAGCTTACAACCATATATCTTACAACCTTCTGGTTCCAGAAACCATATAACCTCATAGGAAACTGAGCTGAAAAGTGAAAAAATCTTCATTTTACATTAGGCAACGTTCGGAACTGACTTCTATTTTGTATGGTATGTGGCAGTACTAATCCTTGTAAGTTCCAGGGACAACAAAATCGCCTACACGCAGGGCGGAACTCAGGAGGCAGGTCCTGGATCGCGCAGCAACTCCACCTTGCCGCCACCCACTCCGGATCTGTTGCCCCATCGCGGTCCGTCGCCCTTTTTGCCCGGACCCAGCCACTTTGAAAGGGCCCTCCAGTTGCCAGTGGACACCTTGCCGCAGACCGTGTTTCCCCAGCTGAACTCATCCGGTGGCTATGAAGTACCATCTGCTGTGTTCTCGCCCAAGCCAACCAGGGACCATCAGCAGGATGTCGATGAGGAGCAGGCCGCCATTGTGAACCAGGTGAGTTGGCATACTAGTAGTGCTGTAAGGGTTATTTATGCACTGTGTGTTTAAGTGTAAGTTTTAAATTTAAAAACAAAAGCATTTATCCCGAAAGGTATGCTGCGAGTACTGAAATTATGAAAATATCAAACTGAAAAATACGCGTTTGATTTCATTAAAGGATTTATCCATTTCTATAAGTTTGGTTCTACCTATTTGCAACTAATAATTGAAAAGTTTCATTTTGGATTATTGTACACTTCACTGCTTAAGATTGCATTTTAGGCAAGTTGTATTTTTGCTTACCTATAAATATTGCAAAATTTTCGAATATTTTTTAAATGACTATATTCAGTGCAACGCTGCATACTTTTCGGAGATTCACTTGGAAAAATGTGTGTAAATTAAATGTGGTAAAATATTTTTTGCGATGCCAGGCCAAAATAGCTACGTGAATTGTTTCAGACGCCGTGTTTTGTTTTTCATTTTCATCGTGTGTGTAGATATTGAAAATGTGCATGTAAAACGGCGTTCGAAAATGTAGAAAACAGATAATTTTTGTAATTTGAATACACTCAAACGATGACATCAGCACATAACAATGTTGTTGGTCAAGGTTCCATCGTTTACATCCGCTATATATAGACTTGGGATCGAGGATGTGGGGGGCTAAACAGGAAAAGGCTCGGTGACGCAGTGCGCAGGTGGAAATTGGCTGGGAATCAAAGAAAAACAAGTCGGAATCTCTTACAGGGAACTAGAACGCCCCCAAAACTCAGCGGAAAATGCCAAGAGGCAAAGACGCAAATAAACAAGCGTCTATTTTCCGAACTATTTCTGGGCAGGTGAGTGAGCTGCAAGGCGGGGATTTTGATCCACTGTCCACAACTTGTGATGCCCCGTGGCAAGGCCACTGAAAGCACCCCCTCCATATGTCCCATCATCCTCGGATGACGCCGCTAATGAATCAAGACACTTGCCAAGGTCGCAGTTCGGTGTTTGCTGTTGTGTCGGTGCGGCACTGAAACAAAATCAAGGTGCCAGGTAGGCACCTACGTGATTTGATGTTTGACGATTTGTCATACGAAAGTGTGGGAGGAAGGTGCCTCGGGAAAAAGTTCCAGAACAGGTGACCTCCCCGTGGATGAGAGTTGGTCTATTCTGAGCATTATACTGCGAGGGGTTATTGTACTTTGCCTCAACTAATTTATGGTTAATATGTGCCTTGAATGCGTTCTATTTGTGTTTTGGATTTCTTTGTTGGAGGCGTGAAACGCACAAAACAACATCAGTGGGATTGTTTATTGGTCGTTTTGTTTTAAGCAAGCGGGGGTGCACCGGGCACAAATTATACTGGCTTACTCAAAATGTAGACGGAATGGTTTACAAACGCTTAATCATGCGAAAAGGTTGGTCTCTAGAAAAATGGCATTAATATTCAGCGTATTAAAATTCCCACTTTCTCTTTAAAACTATCTTCACAACGAAATAGAGAACAAATTGGGAAGAATTTTCATTATCTTTCTGTTAACCATAATTTTCTCCAAGTGCAGCACACAGTCAAATGAAGTGCAACCTTCGCAGTGGGAAGCACAGCCCATAATTCCGTGTAAGTTATGCGCTCCTTGGATCCTCCATCGAACTTGAAGCTTTTCCAACAGCCTTTCAAGGCTAATTACACCTGCTCGTGTGTTTTTGGATCAACATCAAATGATATGCCCAATGCCCTGTTCCAATGCCAATTGCTTATGACAGCCAAGAAAACTCAGCATGCCAATGCCAATATAGACGAGGATCGGTATCTTTGGAGCTGTCACAATTGGTTGACAAATTTGCGAATTGAAAGTGCTCAGTGCCAGTGCAATTTGGCGAAAGCAAACTGAGCAAATCAATAATTTGGCTGCAGATTGGCGAAGTGTATCTATATTCACATTTATGTTGCTGCAGTGGGGCGAAACAATAACCTCGAGTCCGATAAATATTTGTGCCTAATTCTCGAGATGCGAAAAGAGTGTTATGTGAAATGGTTCCACAAAAGCAGCAATTAAAACATATACGCGAGATGTTATATGTGAATAATTCTCGACCGAGGTGGCAGGACAAACAACAACATCCGCTGAGGGGGAGGAAATGGGGTGGTTAAGGTGGCGCGTGGGCGGGAGCTGGGGAAAAATAAAAAATATAGATCACGCCAAGTCCAAGTTTATACGATGGCGTATTGTTGTTGCCCGTGGTTTACGCTCGGTGAACAGGCTATTTGCACAAAAACATATTTTGTATATTTAAGAAAATCTGCTCTCTCTACCTCGAATACATAGGATTTTCGAATGGATTGGTGTGGGTGCGTGGGTCGGACGGCCTCTGACCGTCAGCACTCAGTTTTCTATATGCTGGCTCACACAGACAGACAGACACACTCTCCAACCAATACCGAGTTGGCTATATAGACAAATTGGAATTCCGCGCAGTCGGAATAGCAATAATTCGCCAGCATTTGAAAATTTTCGAATCAGTTGCGTTCGGAATATTGAAAAATAAACAACAATAAGACTCGAGCTCGAGCATCCTTTTTGTAGTGAATCCTAGTGAATAGATCTCCGATCTCACCAGCTGCAGCGTTGATTTAAACGTGACGAAGAAGCAAGTTACCAATCATAAAATACAAAAAATAAAAAAAATTTACATACAAAATATTGAAAACACTGCGTGATCTTCCATTACGTAATTGCACCTGGCTATAATATCTTTCGTTTCTATTTTGTTCGAATTGAAGGAGTTTAAATTCAAGCCAAAACACACACATTACAAAAATGGAGTACGTTCAGTTCAAAAACGGATCCCCAGTCTACTACAAGGAGCAGCCAGACCTCAATGAGTGCATTCAATACCAAGTAAGCGAGCCAGTGAGCAATTAACTCAACTAAAATAAATGCAGGGAAATATTAAAGTCCCAAACAAAGATCTAACTTCTGGTTTTAAAGAGGAAACAACTTCTAGCTGTCAACGGGACTCGTTTAAGCCAAGTAGAGATACAAAATAGAGCAAAGCTAGCTGAGATTTGATCATCTATATAGATATAAACATAAATTATTTCTAAGTACATGGCACAGTCCAGATGAAACATTTCACCTTTACCGTCAACCATTTGATCTTGGAATTCAAGTTCAAATACAAACGCCAGCGCCAACAGACCTGTGTTTTTCGAGGTTTTTCGCCTTACTGCTCCCTCAGAAGTATATATGTATTTGGGAAATAGGAATATAGAACGCCATATACCTACACCCATAGATATATGCATGCATATATCTGGCTGGCGGTTCGCAGCGCCTCTCTGCATATAGCTTATTATTCAAACATTTGTTCGCCTTTCGTCAATACGCGTCGAAAGGCAAGCAGAGTTTTTGAAACATATTTTCATTGCGCTCTGGCTGTGCTGTGCTCAATGTAATTCATACCACTCAAACGGGGTATATTTTTAGAGCAGAGAGCGCAGGAAGAACAACAATAAGCCAGCAAATAAATAAACAAAATGATTATAGAACAAATTAATTTCATGTCGAGATGGCCAGCAAGCCCACACAAATTCAGAAGCACTGGTGTTAATTTGACTCGTACGTTATGAAAACAATGGCAGACTTTCCCTATGGTTTTCACAACTTTTGGCACGGCCCAAGATTTAAACTTGTGGCCCAGCGAAAGTGGAAAGCGTTTTCACTTTTGCGTTTCGTGTATTGCGGAACTATTTAGTTTATTCTTTTTTGCTTAGGGCTAACAGGAAGGGGAATTCTCTATAACTTATTGGTCAACACATCGGATTAGAAATAGATTATGGGCGCAACATTTACTTAAATTTATGACACACACAAGAGTCTCGAGGCTTCGATTCAATTAATAGTCAGAAAATAGCAGATAATGTCGAAAGTGACCGTCAAATGATATTTCAAAATATTTCAGTGCTTGCGCCAGCCACGAATTTTAAAATTAGCGTCAAAAAGTATTCTTATACATATACGTACGTCCCCAAGGTGAATGAAAATGAGAAAAATGCGCAATTAACCAGCAGCAGTTTGTCGGCCACACTAATTTCCTAAAGGTAATCGTCCAGATCGTCACTTGCTCAGGCAGGCGGTGTCGCTGAGGATTGAGGCGATCAGCTGCTTGTCGCTCAGTGCCGCATGCACCTCCTCCTCGTCCCACTGCAGCAGAACCTTGTGCAGGCGGGGCTCCTTCTTGCGCATGATCCGCAGAATGCCTCGGGTCTCGACCAGGTCCACAGTGCCAGTGAACTCCGCTTGGTCCAGGGCCAGGATGTTGCGTTTGGCGCACACTCTTCTGTAGACCTCGTGCAGGCGACCCATGCTGATGTCTTTGTTGCGCTCGTTGCGCAGCATCAGCACCAGGGTGCACAGCATCAGCTTCTGCTGCAGTGGAAAGGATCCCTCGATGTCCTCCTCCAGATTCTGTGAGGCTCCGTAGACCTTGTTCAGCACTGCAGCCACTTGGGTGACCTGAACGGGCTTCAGAGTGTCTGAAATAGTGCAAACATAACTTCTTATAATACATTCTATACAAGCATTTTGTTTTAAGATTGATTTATCTATGTATATACTGAGGAATAATGGTCTACCTTGCTTAGCCTTGGCCTGCTCCGCATCCTTGCCCTCCAGTTGCAGGGCCTTCATATTGAACTCCTTTTCGCCATCGCGCTTCTGCTGCTCTGCTATCTCGACTACCCGTCGTCCAATGTCCAGGGCCCGTCGCACATCTCCGCTGATCGCACTCACCTTGGCGGCCAGCAGCTGCAGGGTAACGGGCGGAAAGACGTCCAGCACCTCCGCCTCGGCTAGACGCGACTTGAATATCTCCACGATCTGCTGCTTGGAGTAGGGCGGGAAGTGCATCAGTCTGGGCTTTAGTTCGCACCTTGCATTCAGTCGCATCAGCGCACGATCTGTGAGATCCAAACTATTGGCAATGCCCACGAGCAGTATTCTGGAGCCAGGCAGAGCTGGCCACTCGAAGATCGTGTACAACACCTCCTGCCTGCTGGTGCAGAGCTGATCAATCTCGTCTAGCACAAGCAGGAGCATTCGCTTTGCCGTCTTCAGGTGACGCTGTATGGCCTCCAAGTGATCTCTTTCTGTGCGACCGCTGACTTTGAGCTGCAGTTCGGTGCATAGCTTCTTGTAAACTGCTCCTACACTTGCTATGCTGGTGCAGTTGATGTAGACACGTTGTAGACGCTTTGAGAAGTCGGGATCTCTTAGAAGAAGCGATAGGCAGGCGGTCTTTCCTGTTCCTGGCTGCCCGGAGACATAGAGGCTGCCGGAAGTCTGACTGTCCAGGTGACTGCTGAAGAATTCACGGAGCTCTTGAAGCTGCGATTCACGTCCTGGCAGGTTTTGCGTCTCGGCGCTGTTGAGCACTCGTCTGGCGTTTTGGTATTTGTTGCGGGAGGGCGAGGGCAGGCTATTCTGTTGGGTTTCCTCATTGGTTTGGGAATTGTTTTGCTCTTTGATTTCAGTTTTATTCGGCTGTCTTGTTGAAGGTTTCTCCAGCGGCTTTGGTGCTAATGGGTCCTCCTGCTGTTTTGGTCGTGGCTTTGTCAGGTGTTTTTCCAGTTGCTTCTGCTGCTGCTCAGCCTTGTCAGTCTTGTGTATCGGCTCCACCTCCACCTCCCCTTCCTCCAGGCGCTCGTCGATGCTGAGCCTGTCCAGCAGCCGCGAAGGACTGATCAGGTGCTGTGGCAGTGGCTGCAACTTCCTCTGCTTGGGCGGCGATCCATGGAGCGGGTCCACCTCTGGATCCTGTTCGCTTTCCATGAACCTAGCGATGGCCTCACGGTTTTCCTGGTCTCGCTTGGCCCGTGAACTACCAGCTGATTGGGCTGTTTTCTTTGTGCTGCGTGGCGTCTTCGGGAGCTCCGCTTGAGCCACCTGCACTTGCGAGGTCCTGCGCTTGGAGACCTTGTCCATTTTGTTGAGCACGTTGCGGTTCTCGTTGTTCTCTGAAACGGTGCTGGTCAGGTCATAGATTGCCGTAGCCACCACCTCCTCCTCCTCGTCGTCGTCGCTATCGGCTAGCACTTTTTTCGGCTGCCTGCGTTTCCAAACTTCCGAGCGACGCGGCGTCTGCGTCGACTGCGGCAGAGGAGAGGCGGCGGTCGCCTTGCTGATGCTACTCAGACGCGTGGAGCGGCGTACGGCAGCCATTCTTTAGTTTAGTTTATTGATCAGCAATTAGTTAGCTATTAAATACTAGTTAATTAAGCCACAGCGTGCGTTAAAATTTTACGCTGGCAGTCACAATTAAAAAAGCGCGCAAATTGTGATTGCCATTCACCACGAACAACAGCTGATCAAGCCTGGTCTGACCATCTGGCAGCCCTGGCCCAGAGCTGATTATCGTCGATCGCTTATCGATTAGCCGCGCTTAGTTACAACATTTTAAACAGCAGTCCGCCAATATTGAATTACTTACATACTCGCGCGTGGACTGCCTGGTAAAAATAAAATGCTCCGCGCCAGATAGAAAACACAAATCGCTGGACGTTGAGCACGCTTACGTAAGCGCCTAAAAATATTTCCCCCTGCTTGTGGGATATTTTTAAAGTATATAACCGGGCGCACATAAAATGGAATTTAGATATAGCGAAAAATTATGCACACACACGCGCACACAAAGTAGAAATACCTAGCACAGTGGGCAAAGATCTGGTGGTTTCTAGAAACTCTGGTAATCTTTGTCTGATTTATTTATATTATCATTTGCCGCAACGTCTGGTCAGCCAAATGTTTGCCCCATTCTGGCGTAAACAAAGTCGTTAATCACTGATCCGCCTTCCAGCCCTACCGTACAACTCCGCTGGTCCTGCCCGGCGCCAAAGTGAAGAAGGATGCGCCCACGACAGAGTCCTACTTGAGGCACTACCCCAACCCGGCTGTGCGCGCCCACCCAGGACACGACTACCATGACAGTATCATGAAGCAGCGTGTGGCCGACACCATGCTGCACAAGGTTGTCGGTTCGGAAGCCGACACTGGCCGCGTGAGTACCAAATTGCTTAAAGCCGCACTTGGATAATGTTAAATTACAGAAAATACTGTTTTCTACATGTGAAATGGACATTTTCAATGATATCATTTCGAATTCGTCACCTATTGTGTTTGTTCTAACCCCTATTCAAAATTTCAATGAAAAAATATAAAGTACCATTAGTTATATGTTTTCATAGGCTTTGTTTACTCTAAGTGGATTGGATTTCATAGACAGTAATTGTATTTAATTAGTAGTTTTGGTTATACTTACATGTATGTCCCTCGATTTCAGGTCTTCCACAAGCAATTCAACTCGCCCATCGGCCTATACTCCAACAACAACATCGAGGACACCATCAGATCCACAGTTCCGTAAGTTGTCACCCAGAAACGTACCATCTGGAAACTCTTATGCTTAGCTCGATACAATGAAAAAAGAAAAAAAAAACACTAATATTTGAACTTTGGAATACGCTTGTCAAATTGAATTTATAAGCCTATGAATTACGCTACATATTCTTTGGATTTTGCAATTTATGAATAAACCTGCGTAGAACTCTTCGAAATTTTTGATGCAGCTTTTCTTTTTGCCAGAGAGAGAGCGAGCCACTCGAAATGCGCCAAGTAGCTTGAAACTAATAAAAACGAGTCACGAACACGGTTACGAGTAGCCTAAGGTCCACATAACCCGAATAATTGGTTCCTGGTTAAGCTGCGGCCATAATCCACTAACCCAAAAGCCACAAAATCAAAGTCGAAACGAAATTTACTAAACCGATGCACACACGAAATGAGAAACACACACACGATTCGAACACATGAATAAACACAAAAACCAGTCCATAGATGTTGTAGCTACTACTCTACTGCCTACTGCCGGATATCTGTTTTACATATATAAATATACGACTCTCTATATATCCTATATATATTCTATGTATATTGTTGTAGCTTCGCCACGAGCGAAAGCAATCGCTTGAAGGAAAGTCCTTTGCATCGTCCTTTGCCAACAAAACTTAACGGGTAAAAGTAAATTCATATCTTGAGCACAGCCTGATTTCGTTCTTTGATTGAATCCTTTCACTTTCACTTTGATATGGAAAGCCCATGAGCGCAAGAACTTGAAATTGTACCTGAACTTGCCTTGAGACAAATTAAATTGAATATGAGGAATGTTTCCCCTGCCTGTCTGTACAGATTAACCCTCTATTATTGTTGTCTCCCGCAACCTCAACAACTGTACTATATAATATCTTGGACCCAGATACAATATCTATGTCAGAACAACAGAAACAACACCACACAAGTTCAATCCCCAAATGCATGTGCTCTGCTGTCAACGAATATGTGTTTCCTATATCTCTCCCAAAATCTTCCTATTGCAAAGAAAAGCTCAAATGACCTGAGTCTGTGATAAGGAAATCCATACTGTGTAAATACGTGTATTTCTGACAACTATTTCCACCGAAACCCACAGCGAACGTTGTTTGTCTTGAGGCTTTTCAGTTTTGGTTATTAGGACATAAGTGTAAGGTATGGCAAAAGAGGCGTAGGTGCATCGGGAAGGGTCTTAAATGGGTAGATCAGGTGCTGATCCTATAGATTAACCACCAAAAAAAAAAAAAAAACAAATAAGCGAACCCTTGACTCTACCACTCTAGCTCTTAGATTCTGATATGCTTAGAACTTAGCTGCACGATTAATGTTAGAATTTTCATCGATCTATCTTTCCTGGAACAAAAACGTATTATTCTGGAGCAACAAAAGCAAAAAGAACAACTTGCAGAGCAACAACGTCAACAACGCCAGCATCAACTGCAAATACTCTATCAACAAAACAAATGATCAATGAAATAGTAGCCAAAAACTGAACCCACTTCTACTAGACTATGAGCCAAATACCCTTACCCAAGAATCCTGCTGAAAGACCATCCCCCTCCTTTTCGACCCGCCCCACAAGACTAATCCGAAACTAAAAGACGTTTGCTGAATTATATTTACGAACTGTTTGAAAGACAGCACTGAAAGTTCCTATTCATGATCCCCATCGCAACCCATCCAGTATTAACCGAACGAGCCCAACTAACCACCCTAATCCCGCCCGATCTCAAGGCTTCGACTCATCCGATGATATATGATAATCTCAATATAATCAAGCACCTTGTTATGCAGTTCTGTTCGATACACTTAATAATAATAACTAGCTCGTAAGCAATTTGTTAATGAGTTTCCTTAATTAATTAATCGCAATCCGTTTGAGGAGTGTGCAGTTCCAAGACAACGAAGCACACCTATTGCCCACCAACAACAGCAACAACAAACTACAACTACAACAAAAACAAAATAATTCTAACGTATTTTGTGCACATCCTGTTTTCTCTTTCTATTCTCTCACTACTCTGTCTCACGCTACTCAACCGATGTAAAAAAATAAAAAAAAAAAAAAAAACCAACATACTTTTTTATAAATCTCGATTAACCAACAAAAATAAAACGAATTAAAAATATAAATCTTTTGAAAACTTGCGTAACACCAAACCAAAACTCCAACGAATAATTGACCAAAATAACGGCGCTTTCAACGATCTCAATGCAAACCCCCGAATTACTGAATCTTAATCCGAATCGGAATCCAAATCACTGACCACTGCCAACGAGCAGCTATAAGAAAACTGTCCAGTACGATCCCAGGAACAGCGAAACCTACAGAGCCATTCAAGAAGAGGGCGGCTACAGCAACTATGGCCAATCCTCGCCACAGGAAGTGACCATTCCTGTGCAGACTAAGGTCTATCAGCCCAATAGATTGGTTCCAGGAAAGGTAAGATCGTGCGCAACCGTTCGAAAATCAAGCAAATCTCTCAATCAACTCGAATCAGTCGAACTCAGTCAAAACTTTATGTGAAGGCATCCGACAATATCGCTCGTTCCTCAAGCTCATCTTGTACAAAGTCTATCTATCTCTCTCTGTTCCTATATCGCTCGCTGTCTCTCTATCCGTGTCAATGTAACGTGTACAGTTGAACCAACCGAATGTTAGTCAACAGTGTCTGTGTGTCCTTGTCTGGCGGCATGTAAGCGCGCTATAACGACAACTAATGGGCCGAAGTAGTGTTACTAACCTGATTTTTGGTCGATCACCTGCTGGCATCGAACTACACTAAACACATCCATTAACTCCATCTCTGTGTATATTTTCCAAATCACAATAAGCACACATCTTTTTGGCATTCTGACTTATAACATCTAACAGAAGCTCATAACAGTTGAATATTGCATTGGAAGTTTGTAATCGAAATTGCTTGACTTAGCTAGAGTTAACAATCAGAGTTATTATCTGTTTACTTCATCCAAATGCTATTACAGAAACCAGTATCAGCGCCAGTATCCCGGCCGCCGTACAATGTGAGTAGCTCAGCTTAGTCACTGTTAACTGAATGTCATACTATTAATGTGTTTTATTGGGCTACAGGTGGTAAACACCCACGATGAGAACATACGCCAGAGCGGCTCCTTCAATCGTCTCATGTACAGCGTTATTGGTGCCACCGAGTACTAGAAGGTGCAGCTGCAACACCAGCGACAGCAGCATCAACATCAACATCAATGCAACATCTGCTGCAGTTGTCTATCTCCTAACATATTTAGCGGATTTTTATGAAATTCTGTTTAACTTACTCAATAAATTCTATGAAGAACGACAAGAAATTGTGAACCACTAACACGCTTGATGATATAATGGATTGGTAATCAATTGGCATCGAAATACAATTAAACACCACTTAACTTCGCCTCAACCTATTTACACTCTGCATATGCAATAGAAAACGTATATAAATTAATTAAATAAAAAAAAGAAAAGAAAGTAATCTTTGATTTATGGCTATGTTTATGTTATGCTGATTCTAAGTTAACAGCCGTCAGGTGTGTTAATACCGAGTGATTCTAGTCATGGAATGTAATAGGAATTAAGAATGTTTTAATTAATAAAAGTGACTTTGATTGGATGAAAGATATGCGTGCCTTATGTGACTTCAATCTAGAAAGGCATATTTATACTCTTTAATCCTTTTTATTTTCGTATGGTTGAACCTGATTTTTATACCCGTTACTCGTGGAGTAGATATTCAAAAAAATGAAGAAATGCCCTAAGGCTGAAGTTCTAAACTCCATAACTCAACTTATCTTAATCGTATTTTGAAGTGGCATACCTCTAAATGTTTCTGGCGCAATTCTCTAAAAAAATGCATTCAAATTTAAAAATTTATTTTTTTTTAAATTTTTTATAATTTTTTTGATGTGGTGTTGTTGTAGAGATTCAAAAAAATGAAGAAATGCCCTAAGGCTGAAGTTCTAAACTCCATAACTCAACTTATCTTAATCGGATTTTGAAGTGGCATACCTCTAAATGTTTCTGGCGCAATTCTCTAAAAAACTGCATTCAAATTAAAATTTTTTTTTTTTTTTATTTTTTTGTAATTTTTTTGATGTGTTGTTGTAGAGATTCAAAAAAATGAAGAAATGCCCTAAGGCTGAAGTTCTAAACTCCATAACTCAACTTATCTTAATCGGATTTTGAAGTGGCATACCTCTAAATGTTTCTGGCGCAATTCTCTAAAAAACTGCATTCAAATTTAAAAATTATTTTTTTTTCAAATTTTTTGTAATTTTTTTGATGTTGTGATGTAGAAATTCAAAAAAATGAAGAAATGCCCTAAGGCTGAAGTTCCAAACTCCATAACTCAACTTATCTTAATCGGATTTTGAAGTGGCATACCTCTAAATGTTTCTGGCGTAATTCTCTAAAAAACTGCATTCAAATATAAAAATTATTTTTTTTTCAAATTTTTTGTAATTTTTTTGATGTGATGTAGAAATTCAAGCAATTAAGAAATGTTCCAAGGCTGAAGTTCAAAACTCCATAACTCAACTTATCTTAATCGGATTTTGAAGTGGCATACCTCTAAATGTTTCTGGCGCAATTCTCTAAAAAACTGCATTCAAATATAAAAATTATTTTTTTTTCAAATTTTTTGTAATTTTTTTGATGTGATGATGTTGAAGAAATTCCAAAAAATTAAGAAATGTCCTAAGGCTGAAGTTCAAAACTCCATAACTCAACTTATCTTAATCGGATTTTGAAGTGGCATGCCTCTAAATGTTTCTGGCGTAATTCTCTAAAAAACTGCATTCAAATATAAAAATTATTTTTTTTTTAAATTTTTTGTAATTTTTTTGATGTGATGATGTTGAAGAAATTCCAAAAAATTAAGAAATGCCCTAAGGCTGAAGTTCTAAACTTCATAACTCAACTTATCTTAATCGGATTTTGAAGTGGCATACCTCTAAATGTTTCTGGCGCAATTCTCTAAAAAACTGCATTCAAATTTAAAAATGTATTTTTTTTTTATTTTTTTGTAATTTTTTTGATGTGGTGTTGTTGTAGAGATTCAAAAAAATGAAGAAATGCCCTAAGGCTGAAGTTCTAAACTCCATAACTCAACTTATCTTAATCGGATTTTGAAGTGGCATACCTCTAAATGTTTCTGGCGCAATTCTCTAAAAAACTGCATTCAAATTTAAAAATTTATTTTTTTTTTATTTTTTTGTAATTTTTTTGATGTGGTGTTGTTGTAGAGATTCAAAAAAATGAAGAAATGCCCTAAGGCTGAAGTTCTAAACTCCATAACTCAACTTATCTTAATCGGATTTTGAAGTGGCATACCTCTAAATGTTTCTGGCGCAATTCTCTAAAAAAATGCATTCAAATTTAAAAATTTATTTTTTTTTAAATTTTTTATAATTTTTTTTGATGTGGTGTTGTTGTAGAGATTCAAAAAAATGAAGAAATGCCCTAAGGCTGAAGTTCTAAACTCCATAACTCAACTTATCTTAATCGGATTTTGAAGTGGCATACCTCTAAATGTTTCTGGCGCAATTCTCTACAAAACTGCATTCAAATTTAAAAATTTATTTTTTTTTTTTTTTTTTGTAATTTTTTTGATGTGGTGTTGTTGTAGAGATTCAAAAAAATGAAGAAATGCCCTAAGGCTGAAGTTCTAAACTCCATAACTCAACTTATCTTAATCGGATTTTGAAGTGGCATACCTCTAAATGTTTCTGGCGCAATTCTCTAAAAAACTGCATTCAAATTTAAAAATGTATTTTTTTTTTATTTTTTTGTAATTTTTTTGATGTGGTGTTGTTGTAGAGATTCAAAAAAATGAAGAAATGCCCTAAGGCTGAAGTTCTAAACTCCATAACTCAACTTATCTTAATCGGATTTTGAAGTGGCATACCTCTAAATGTTTCTGGCGCAATTCTCTAAAAAACTGCATTCAAATTTAAAAATTTATTTTTTTTTTATTTTTTTGTAATTTTTTTGATGTGGTGTTGTTGTAGAGATTCAAAAAAATGAAGAAATGCCCTAAGGCTGAAGTTCTAAACTCCATAACTCAACTTATCTTAATCGGATTTTGAAGTGGCATACCTCTAAATGTTTCTGGCGCAATTCTCTAAAAAAATGCATTCAAATTTAAAAATTTATTTTTTTTTAAATTTTTTATAATTTTTTTTGATGTGGTGTTGTTGTAGAGATTCAAAAAAATGAAGAAATGCCCTAAGGCTGAAGTTCTAAACTCCATAACTCAACTTATCTTAATCGGATTTTGAAGTGGCATACCTCTAAATGTTTCTGGCGCAATTCTCTAAAAAACTGCATTCAAATTAAATTTTTTTTTTTAAGTTTTTTGTATATTACATATCTCACTTATTTGGTAACTTACTAATGCCTGCACCTGACGTTTATGTTTAAAGAGCGATATATTTTGAATCGAACATTTCAACATGGCAACAATAATTTGAATATGACGAGCTCTTTTTTTCCCTTCTGTGAAACATTAAGTAGGGCCAAACCCAGTTGAACCCATAACAAACCAAAACCCAAAAGAAGTAGCCAAAAATCTTTGCATAACATGACGCAGCAGATCTGCACTTATTCCATCAATCATTCCGGCAATTAAACGTATTTATATTGAAACTATATGCACACATGAGCTGAGAAATGAGCGTAGCCATAAATTTGACTTTAATTTGAATGGAAATAAGTCACTCGAGAGTGTACGTGTGTAATGTGCATAACAATTGTCTGCAACACATAATATACTTTCACTTCACGGCTAAGTAAGCCACAAATGTGGTTGGTTTTTCTTTCAATTGTAAACTTTTTGCTTGATTTTAAAGCTGTTACAATGTCAGCGCGATCCCATTAAACGGTCAGCCCCATTTTGCGCCGATTTCGACTCCCCCGAAACGACCTTGTCGAATGCGAATCGATGCAAATTCGGGGCGTATCATGAGCCATACTCAAAGAGTGCTCTGTGGCAATTGTAATCACGTATCAAATGTTGTAGTAGGACTTATGGGGCTTAATGACACGATCACATGATCGCAAAGATCGTATATGCAAAAGGGCTTGGGAGCAGAAAGGGCAGAAAACGCGGAGATTTGGCAATCGGCGACATCGAAGATCGCTTGAACCCATTCAACCGCAACGCAAACGCAACGTCTGATTCAGATACAGATAGGCAGATATACGAGTACAGATTGCTTTTCACAGACAGTTGGATACATAGAAAAACGCTTAGACGAATTTGGGTCAGAAACAATGCACTTGTTGGGTTCGATTTTGACTCGGGTGTGGCCCTCCTCCGATCGCATTGACCTCTTCTTCTCCGAGAGCCCAGCGATTAATTGGGCATGATTATCTAATGGGAAGCCATCAAGAGAATTGCATGGATTGTAGATATATCATATAGACCTGCATGTCGGAGGAGTCAACACCGCAAATGCAATTTACATTTGCTCGTGGGCACTGCATGCCTTCCCAAATGTGTTCAGTGTATAGGTGTTGTAGCTGCAAATGACAAATTCGGGAAAGTTTTCCAATGCTAGTCAGCTGCCTCTGGTTTTGGCCAAGTTAACAGCTGTTGGCCGAGATCACGTAGGGTTACAAAAAGGTAGGGAAAAAACCTTTAACAATGGCCCAGGTCGAGGGTAGAGGAACTGTGATTCGAACGGAAGTGACAGCCGAGCTGGGGGCTTTTGGCCACCCAAAAAACAGCTGTTGTAAATCAGCCAAGAGAGTCGCATTATGGCCAAGAAAAGCGTGAGAGAGCCGACGTTTTGGTTGCCGCTCGTCGTTTGTCGTTTGCCGATATAAAAGTGCAATTTGGATTCGCAGCCAGCGCAGATACAATTGTGGCTCCGTCGAGGTTTCAGTTAGATTTTGTAACTCAATACCAGTGTTACCAGTGTCCCGTCGTCCAAGTGTGATCTAGTATCCAGCGAACGTAGCCCGTAGCAACATGCAACTCCTTCTGGTGACGGCCACTTTGGCGATCTGTGGTGTTGTCAGTGGACAACAGGGCGTGGATCCCGCCTACTTGCGGCAGTACTACCAGCAGCTGCAGCATCAGCAGCAGCAGCAGCAGGCTCAGCCCCACGACGGCACGCCCATTTTCGAGCAGAACTCGGAGCAGACGCAGCAGTACGTGAACTCTGGCTCGCAGATCAGGATCAAGGACACGGTGGCGGAGCAGATCCGAGCACAGCAGCAGCAGGGATATGTGGCTCCATCGGTCAGGGACTACCAGGTGGGTTTGCCTACCTAATTTAAGCAATATTTCCATTTCTATATGGTTGGTTTCCACAGCAATACCAGCCCCAGCAGGCCGCTTACCGTCCACCTGCCCAGGCTGCTCCTCAGCCGCCTCGCAGGATTCAGCAGTCCTCGTACCAGGCACCTGCCACTTCGATCCTCGGCAAAGGACAGCACAAGTTGTCGCTGCAGCAGCAAAACGAGGAGGAGGAATACGATGACGTAAGTTACCTTTCATACAAATATTGAGTTGCGGTTATGAACAAGTAATATTGAAAAAAATGTGAGCAAAACTTATAGTGTGAAACAAATTGCCCACGGTGATCAGCAAATTATCCAGTTTGAATCAATTCCACCTCATAATGAATAATGCGAAGAGAAACAAGTTCAATTAATATAACGCAGCCATTTTGATACATTATATCGAATTGGAATCGATGCTCTTTTTGCGGTGCACCCAGCTAGACTTCGAGTGGGACTTTCGCGCACTTTCCTTTTCGCTTCACTGTTGCAGAAAGAGCAACAGCAGCAGCAGCAGCCGCAGCAGCAACTGCAACATAATTACAATCGAAGCATGCAATGGCATAGCGGGATGGATCGGCGGAGGGCGACTGTGACTGGGGTTCATTAACCACACTCAGTGTGGCAACAGCGTGGATTTGGCCATGGCCATATGTGTGTGCATCGCATTGTGCATGTTCATTGGCCCGGGCTCGCTCCTGGTCCGGTCCGCTTGGACACTTAGCCACCGGCGCTTGTTTATGGCCTTTGCATGCGGAAGCTGGCGAATATCCGTTGCCAAAGTGACCATAATCCATCAGGCTTAATGCGGCGGCGAGTTAACGAGATGGGTTTTAGGTGCTCAGTTCGCGTGTCATCCTATTAGCCACTTAAAATTGATGGCCAAAACAAAATTTGACGGATTTCGTCAAAGAAAAAAAATGAAGAAGAAATGAGGTTAGGAAACACAAGGAAATGGATATGAACATTTACCTGTTTGGTTCACAGAGCTCTTATATTAACGACACAAGTTATTGCACCTAACAACTTACTGTCTCCGCCAGACAATCACTTTCAAATGCGACCCATTTACCCCAATCCCCTCTCAGTGTCCAAAAGGCCCAGTTCCCACAACAATGAGCTCCAATGGACATGGCACGCATTAGAACCGGCTTGCCAACTGGCTTTGCCTTTCCAATTTTTGGCCTGCAGTTCTGTGGGCATTTAGCTCTTTGTTTTTTGGCCACGTCAGGCCTTTGAGGCTGGCCAAAACAGAACAAGGGATCGATTTGCGATTGGTGGCCACGCCTCAGAGGCACGATCTTCTTGTTACCTTAACCCAGTTGCCAAGAATCTTAGATCCGATTGTCTTGGCCAGCCGAAGGTCTTGCTGCCATTGGATCCTCATAGGAACTAGGGGAAATCGTACCAACCTTGTGCATAAATTATCAAACGCCTCGAGCTTTCATGGGTGGTGCTTCCATCGCCTGCTGGTTGCATAAACATAATCCGCAGTCATTGGATCGATCGTGTGATCCGCAGCCGCTGCAACGGACCGGCACTTTGATGCCGTGCGATTGGACCATTAAAATATTCAAGCGGCTCCAAATTACTTTCACTTGTGCGTGATCTGGGACTTGGAGCTGGGAGCTTGGAGCTGCACAGCCTACGCGCATGCGCCTTGTGGCAATGACGTAACCATCGTCTGGACACGTTTTTTGGGCCAGCCTCATGCCCCAAAAGTGGGTCAGCGCCATGTTGCAGTACGCATTTGAAGTCCCAACCCCACAAAGCGGCCAATCTGATTTCATTTCATTCACAAAGTGAATTGGAATCGATGCTGTTTTATTGCACAATTTAATGGTCAATTACTTGGCACTCATATCTTCAATCAATTTAATATAAAGAGTAATAGAGATACATGTGCCAAAATCACATTTCAGTTAAATCCCCATCTTGTAACTAATGTCTGACTGTTGTGTTTTAGCAAAACTCCTCGTACCAGTTCGGATTCGACGTGAAGGACGACGAGTTCACCAACTACCAGAACCGCAAGGAGATTCGCGATGGTTCGGTGATCAAGGGCAGCTACTCGGTGGTGGATTCCGACGGCTTCATTCGCACCGTCAAGTACACGGCCGACCCCAAGGAGGGCTTCAAGGCCGAGGTCATCCGCGAGCCCACCGACATCGTGGTGAAGATCCCCACCCCACCGCCGCCGACGCAGTTGCTCCGCGCCGGAGGCCACAAGGCCCAGCAGGAGTACAGCTCGGGACCCAGCAAGCAGCAGTACCAGCACCAGCACCAACCGCAGCAGCAGCAGCCGCAGTACCACCAGTACCAGTAGGGGATTCGATTGGGGCAGATGGGAGACTCTTGTCGAAACACTCTTGAAAGTTCCGCAAGTCCATGTAGTTTGTAAATATGCCGAGACTCGATTGGCACGAGATTATAACGTTATTATACTTTATGTCATTCATTTAGGTTCGATTTGCTTGCTTAGAATATTAAATTAAATGTTTCAAAATACTTAAATGGTGATCATTTTATTATAGGCGAGTTGCTAAATGTGTTTCTTGGTCAATACTCAACCAGATCGAGTAATATAAATACCCCTTATTCACCAACCTTTCAAGTGATGTAACGAACTCCGCTAAAACTTCTTCCCGGTTTCGGGAAACATAAATATCTTAAGACCATCTTGGGTGTCCAAATTGAGGTCACACCGATGTCTGCCAGCTCGAAGGTAAACAATGTCCTAACCCCCGAGCAATTGGCAAGGTTCGTAAAGGACGAGCACCAAGAGCCCAGTGACACCCAAGGCAGATCTAAGGACAACCCGTTCGGGCAGTTGCTGACAAAGGCCATCTAATGGAGGTTCTCACAGTGGATCGTGGTCACCGAAGACACGGCTTTGGACTCGGACCCGGCTGGACCGGTCAGACCGGTTGTCCTTTGGGAACTCACGCCACAAAAGCAATAGGAATAGCAATCGCAATCGCATCGCAGTCGCATCGCAGTGTCCTTCTGCAATGTCCTTGCATAAATTAGACGAGCGTGTGAGAACTTTGAGCAGCCGAATGTATCCCCGGCTTTGATGACCTTATCGCCCAAGAAGAAGACGGCCGGCGACTACGAACCGGTTCTGGACAATCTCCAGATGATGCGGTGAGGTGCGATGACTGACAGCCAGCCGGGATCGCCTCGCTAATGACCCGCATAGCGGGTCAAAGGGCCTGTAACCCATTTACATATACGTCCGGGCATTTCATATTGATCTGATGCAAGGATCCCGAACATGTGCGTGGTCATTGCGCCCGGGATGTGCCAACAAACAACTGGACATTGGGCCTGGCCGCCGGGCATTTGTGTCATTTGTGCTCGGCCGTCTTGGAGGGATATGCAAATGAGGCGAGTGCAACCCCGAGGTTACAAGATAATACCCTCACCATCTGCAACCCCTTCGTCCTGCTTCTTGGCAGACGCATTTACATATCCTTTACGAGCGACCCGCATGATGGACCGATCGAGCGAGCGATGTCTTGTCCTGTAAGTTAAGTAACTGCAGGACATTCGGGTCACTTCGAGGAACCAGTTTCCAGCTAAAGGACGGCCTGTCGCCAGTTGACCTTTTTGGCTGGCCCAGTGCCCGCTGAACTTGTGTAACCGGTTGGACAGTCCACTTTTCCCGAGCGGCGTGAGAAAATCTCAGTTCTTGAAGATGACCTGAGACAAGAAGAGGAGGAAGCTGCATTCGTATGCAAATCTTTTGCAGTGCTCACTCGAATTTCACGCCAAATCATTGCCCTTAAATAAATAATACGCCAAAATTATGAAAAGTCACGATTTATGCGAGTTCGGATGGGTATGTACAGTGAGTTCTTCGGAAGGGGGAGTGCTCTGGGCTGGAGTATGCAAATCGAGGTCGGATCTCAGAGTTTTCCCTGCGCCATGTCCCAACGATGTTCGCCGTGGCCTCCTTGACGATCTGTCCAAATCACCTAAGTGGGTCGAGCGGTTGGAGGGAGAAAGTCTGGCGAGTTATCTGCAAATTTATGGAGTTTCGGGTCTCCAGCTCGGACTCACCTCGCCCTTGTAGCGGTTCGTGCCACGCTGGGACTCGAATCGCTTTTCCTGGGCCTTCGGATGCTTCAGGACGTGGCCATGACTCCGCGAATCGGGCGCATCGAAGCGCATGAAAATATCACTGAGTATAGGTAATTAAATAAATAATTAGGTTCAAAATAAAGGGTTCAACATAATTTGTGGGCTTCCAAAGCTACATTATTTAAATTAAAAAGCAGGAAGTAATTGGGCTTGCCTAATTGTCAGTTTCATTTGCCTGATAACAACCACCATTTTGTCCAAAAGATTTTACGAACTTTTCACCCTTTTTCCTATAACCGTTTTCCTACTAAAAAAATTGTTGGCACTACTTTTGAAGGTTATAAGGTAAACAACCACCCTTTTTCACTAGGAAAATCCTATTACTTAATAAACAACTGCACCACCACCGTAATTTTGTGATAATTCACCCATATTCAAGCCAAATTTTGACTGATTGCATGATACTTTTTGGTGAAAATGGATGACTGATTTTAGGCATGAAGTGCATGCTAAGAGCTATTCCAACATAGTGAGCAACCACCACTTTTCAAATACACTTCAACCCACTTAACTTACTGAAAGTACTTGGTTTCCTTGGCACTCCTGTCGCTTTGACTTCGGGTTTCCGCCACATCCGTGTCCAGATCCTTGGCGTACCTCCTGGGTCGTTCGGTTTGGACATTCGACGAGGGTTGCTGCTGCTGCTCCTGCAACCTGGCGATGCGCGGTGGAATCACATGCAACACATCGCTGGTAAACAGAGCCGGTGGCACATTGTAGAGTTGCTGCGGCTGCTGCTGCTGTTGCAAGTTTTGCTGCTGCAACTGCTGTTGCTCCTCGGCGCGACGTTGAGGCTGCTGCAGCGAGACCCGCTGCACCGGCAGATAGTTCCCTTCATATCGATATTTGGCCAACTCGGCATGTGGAGCGATGGTCCGCTGCTGATACTGGACACTCTGTTGCGAGTAGAGGGGCGGAAGGGGCGGGGCGGGAGCGGGCAACTGCTGCTGCTGGTAGTCCAAGCCCAAGGGCTGATAGCTGGGTCGGTAGTTGATCAGCTGGAAGTGCGGTGTCTGCTGCTGGAAGTGAATAGCCGGCGGAGGCGCCGGACTGTAGCCGCCCACAATGGGCGTGGCAGCTGCAGCATACTCAAATCGCCGAAGCCGCGGCGAATCGTAGTACAATTGTCTTGGGTGGTAGAAGACATGTGGCTGCTGCTGCAAGAAGGCCGGCGAAGCGAGCAACGCCAATTGCAGGAGCAGCAGTTGCATCTTTGGCAGTCCTTTTAAGTTCCCGATTGGCAGGTCCATCGCGTTGCAGTCTCGTCAAATTTGTGGCAGCATTTTGACAACAACATAGCCATTTATAGTTGGCCACTTTTCGGGGCTTGGCCAAAAGCCGGAAGTCACTTGCCCAGCAGTCAGCGGTGTGTGAAATCGATCGACGCTGCTGCCCCGGATTGTGCAATGCTCCAGCGGTCAGCTGCAGGGCTTATATAAGAAATGGCCAATAAAATAGGAGCAACATGCAAAATAGCAGAGAGAAAACTGAGGCAAATCAGCTAGACTGACGGGGATGAGACCTGGAACCAAACTGGTGGCAGCTGGCGGCCTTAGCCATCATCAAGGTCAAAAGCTTGGGCGATTTAGCATATGAACCACTATTGTGGCAAATTCATTGCCAACATCTGGAACTTCCGTGGACCGTTAGAGCCGGCCGGCCATATCCAGTTCTGGCTGATCCTGATTGGTCGAACACACATCCTGGCAGCCTGTTGCTTCTTTCAAGGGGTTGAAAGCCTGCGATGTGACCTATGAGCATTGGGCTTTTCAACCCCCTGACACCCTGTCATCGTTGGAACCCTTGGAATCACCCCTAGAATCCCTGCCAGCAGATCCTTCCTCGTCGAGCTGCGCAGTTGCGCAGTTCATTCGACTTCTGAAGTTGAAACCCACAGCACCACCAAGCCAAAGCCACTGCCAAAAACCGAATTCCTACCGAAACACTTTTGGATACTCCATTGCAACCGAGAGAAAGAGGTGAGTGCTTTTGATAGACATAACACATTTATAATATAGCGACACGAGGTCTGTTCAACTCATCAACATGCATGTGTACGGGTACAAACTCCAGATCCACCAAAGTTACATTATAGATACGGTTATAATACAAAGATTGTGGCCTCCACGAGAGACTGCTGCAACAAATTTTCAGTGCTTTCGATTAGTTCAATTCGGTTCACAACAGAGCTGGAAGAGATTGGAGGTCGGTGGTCTAGTCCGCCATGTTGACATTGTTCATGCGCATCTTGGCGAAGTCCTCGAATACAATGTTGTCATCGTCATCCTGGTAATAGCCCTTCACGTTGCGATGCTGCTCGATGGACTTCATTTTCTTCATGGCGTTCGAGCGCTTCTTCTCAATAGTTCCTATGCCACATCAAAGGGGTTACAATCAGGGAGTTAGGGCAGTAATCTTCTAAAGCTTACCCGGTGCCGGCTGGAGCAGTTTGAAGGGCACATCCGTCTGCATTTCGCCGCCCAGAGTGCCGCAGTTCAGCTTGATGCGCACCGAGTACGAGATGACAATACCACAGGCATCTCCCGTGGACTTGCCCTCCTGCACCATGGTGGATGAAGCCAGGTTCACATCCTCATCCTTCAAGTGTCCGTCCAGGGCGATACCTGTGTTCACAATCAAACAAGCCATTAGAAACTATCCAGGCTCCCAGCTACCGCAAGCAATCCTACCATGGCGATCCTTGTTGTTGGCCGCCAGCGGAATCAGGTAGAAGGTCTTGGTGAGATTGGCGCCCGGAGTGATGGGGCAGCCCTCCTTGGTCTCCAGCTGGGCCACGTGCTTGCTGAACTGGGCGTTCACCATGGTGATCTCGGTGTGCTGCACAATAAAGCACTTGATGCTCTTCACGGACTTCTTGGAGTTGTTCGACACTTGGACGGTGGCAGCCGTCTTCTCGCCGTGATAGTAGATCTCCCTGTCCAGCGTGACCTCCAGACTGATCTTGCCGTTGGAGAAGGTGAATCCCTTGCTCACCAGCGAGCTGGGCAGACGCTGGCCACGATTGAGGGGAGCGTACTGCAGTTTCTTGATCACCAGACTGACCATGCTGCGCTTGTGCTGGCGATCGTCCTCGGAGTCGCCCACAAATGCCCGGATGGTGTACTCCACGCCCAGGGGCTTTCCATTGTCGTCGCCCTCCTGCTGCAGAGTGACGGAGCTGGGCGAGTTGGGCGGGAAGTGGAAGGTGAAGGGATGAGCGTTGCTGCCCAGCTTGCGGACCAGCTTCTCCTGCATCGGCGTCATCTCCATGTTGGGATTGGTCATGGGCACAATTTGCTCGCGGCACAGGATCAGCTCCTTGGAGAACTTCACTCCCATGACCTCGTCCTCCTCGCGGCCATAGCGATAGGTGGTGGCCAGTTGGCCAAAGACCTTCCTGTTCTTCAGGTAGTCTGGCTCCACCACAATCACTCCATCGACGGGATCACAGTAGTCGATGTGGTCGATGAAGTCGCGGCGGCCCAGATAGAAGGTGACCTTGCCGTTGGGCGTGGCCTTCTTGAAGACCTTCACGGATACAACCATTCTGGATAGCTGGATTGGATTTCTGGATTTCGGGATTTCTCGATTTCTTTGATGCCTGGCAAATGCAACTGGATTCGAGGCTAAGTCGGGCGATGCGCGATATAGAGTTTTCCGTTCGGCGGAGGAAAATGCGAAACCCAAGTGCCGTGCAACCTGCTTATATACCTTTGCCCTGGCCCTGTCCGTGGGTCTTCATTCTGGCCACTAACTGGATTTGCTCGTTACGCAGTTGTTTGTTGGACAAGACACGACGGAAACATAGAAGCAACCAAACTAAGGGAAAACTGCCAACAAGCTGCTTCCAGGGGTTGGTCTATTTTCTGCGCAGTTTGCCACTTGCCCGAGCAAATTGGCTAATGTCAAGTATCTTTTTCCGATTCCGCCCTAGTCGAGGTCATCTGGCCAACTGTTGAATAATTAGGCATGGCGACTTGGAGCGGGATTAGCCTCCGATTTGGTGTTACCGGGTTGTTATCAACTGGCGGGTCTGGTTCTTTCGCGGCCAAACATCAGTCGTCAGCAGGGGCAGCCTTAGAAGTTTTAATTATGTTATGAATCAAACGTCGTTATATTGATTTGTGTGTGAGATGTTTAAAAGGTCGCAATTCATTGCAGATAATATTTAAAAATGCTATTTTTTGCCAAATACAGTTCGGTTAATATCACAACCATATCTTTTCTTTGCAGTTGAGATCTGAAACCAGGATGCAGAGCCAGACACACACCACCACAGATCGACATGGCTACAGCCTGCGCTTTTCGCCCTTCGAGGCCAACTATCTGCTGCTAGCTACAAGGTACTTAATTTACTTTACCTTAAACCAACTGAGGACTAAGTTTATGCCATTTTCCGACACCCAGCCAACTGTACGGTCTTGCTGGAGGTGGTTCCCTCTTTCTGCTGGAACAGAACTCCAACTCCAACTCGAGCTCGAACTCGAACTCCACATCCACAGATGGCCAGAGTCTCGGAGAGCTGTGCCGCCTAGAGTGGTCCGATGGATTGTTCGACGTCGCCTGGTGTCCGTATGCCGCCGATATCGCAGCCACTGCCTCCGGAGACGGATCACTCCAGATCTGGTGCGGCCTGGATGGGGAATCGGCGAGCAACCAGCAGACGCCGAAGCAACCCGTCATCTGCTTGCAGGAGCACAAGAACGAGGTGTACAGCCTGGACTGGGGCGAGAAGTGGAACTATCACACCCTGCTCTCGGCCAGCTGGGATTGCACGCTGAAATTGTGGGACTGCAACAGACAGAACTCCATCACCACCTTTGTGGGCCACAACGATCTGATCTACGCGGCCAAGTTCTCGCCCCTGATCGCCAATCTGTTTGCTAGCGTAAGTACCGATGGACACCTTAACTTATGGAACTCTCTCGATTTTGCAGGTAAACCTCTGATGAGCATCGAGGCGCATGGCAGCGAGGCGCTGTCCTGCGACTGGTCGCACTTCGATCGCAATGTCCTGGTCACTGGAGGATCGGACGGCCTGATTCGGGGCTGGGATCTGCGCAAGATGAGGACCCACGTCTTTGAGCTGTACTCCGGAGAATTCGCCGTCCGGCGATTGGCCTGCTCACCGCACTCGGCGGCGGTCCTGGCATCGGCGAATTATGATTTCACCACAAGGTAGGTGGAATGCTCCTAGCCTTCCAGCAATCGGGCATTTTTAATTATCTGTTCACTTTTGTTTAGGATTTGGAACCTGGAGCGTGGCGAGTCCGCCCAGGAGATCAATGCCCGGCACACGGAGTTCGTGTGCGGCCTGGACTGGAACCCACACAGGACCCACCAGCTGGCCGACTGTGGCTGGGACTCCTTGGCCAATGTGTACACACCGCAGTGCCTGAGCGGGGATCTGGTCGTGTAGGTGACTACTGGGCATGCCCACAACTGGAAACTGGAACTGGTACTCCCTAAATACCGCAAACACATGTGATAAGGCGCTAGTGGCGTCGAAATAGCCAGGCCTACAAGCGGCGCACCGTTAATACGATAGCTGAGCTATATGCAATGCCTATAAGGAACTCCAAGGAGCCGAGGACGAGAACGAGGACGAGGACTCAACGGCGCAGAGATGACGTGTAAATAGCTGTGTGATAAACGCTGAACGGGCTAAAAACCTCAAGCAGGTGCTTCAAAATGTCAATAAAAGCTTACATATATCACGAGTATTATATATGAATTATATGGGCTTTCTGTTGCTGCTGCGATGTGTGTTATTATGCCCATACCACCATACACCATACGTTTCTTGGCCTCTGGCTATAATTTGCACTCTGCCCTGTCTTAACAAGAATTTAACGGATCTCGGAATCGCAGCTCGAATCGGTTAGGTGGCAGCAGCCAACAGACGCTGACGGAGATTGACTAGGCATCCTCATCCGGTTGGCTTACCTCTGACCAAACAAACACGCAATAAAGCGCTAATTTGCTGCAACATTTTATTGCCCGAGTGGAGTGGAAGTCCCTGTCATTCCCGGAATTGACACAGCCAGCAAGGTGGAGATGGCCCAAAGGTGTGCCAGCCATCGCACCTTTTCGGCCGACATGGTGTGAAAAGGCAGCAGTTGCTCCCTGGCATCCCAGGTCCCAGATCCCAGATCCCACAACCCTGATCCTGGCTCCCCGATCCCGTCATTATCAGCAGACTGAGCTTTAACTGCCACTCGAGGCAAATATTTGCTTTGAAGCCAATTGGCGCTGATTTCTTCTGACAATTGGGGGCAGATCAGGAGGACCTCACTCTTGATTCTCGAGACCAGGGAACAGCAGCTGCTGACCTGCAATTATCTGTTGGCCAAAATTGATAGTAATGCCTTGTTTGTGTTAATAAAACTCGGTTTTTGGAGCCTGCCAAGCTGAGAGGTGCTGAATTCATCCTTAGGCCAAGTCAGATCTTGATGGCAATTCGGCACCTCGTTTATTTTAAATAATTATTTAAGGAGGGCGTCTGGCCGGCATCAGATATACATTGTTTGGTTTAAGTTTGCCCAAAAAGTGCACAGCTGAAGTAGATAACCCTAGCTGGATAAAAGATGTTACTAACGTAATTTGTTGTAAATATTAATTTAATATATTATTGTTATATATAATACTAATTTACTTTAAATTTATGGTTGGAGCGCGCAGTGCTATAAATAGGTGGCGCTACCTATCGGCAGTTTACACTACCTTGCTATTTTACACGCATTCTACATTTGTGAACTGCTTTACTAAGAGTGCGCAGGCACTGCTTTACAAATTATTTTGAACTTTGGGCGCAAACTGAAACACTTATTCCTTGATTTTCATATTAATGTGAATTTAAAAAAAAATAAAAAGCCAAAAATGATTATTCAGTATAAATGCATTCCGAGAAAAAACAGCTCCCCATTTGGAGTCATGCCCGTCATTAAAATTAAACTCATTTTTGAATGAAGCAGAACTCCTTAAAATTACAGTCCGTAATTTCGCAAAAGCCAAACAGTTGTAGCCAACTATAAATTAGCGCGCAACAAAGTTGCCAGCCAAAGTCCGCTGGGGGCGAGAAATTGGTCACTTACCCAGCTTGCGTTGTCTAGCCCATAACCTTGAGTTGGCCCTGGCCCCATGGATCTCGTCGGTGTCAAGGTTGCGTTGTTCTTCTGCTGCAGCTCGTTATAAATAAACGGACAGCGGCAGTCTATTTCAACACCCAGCACGCGAGGAGGCGATCGCTTCTGCTTCGGCAGCTCCCTCGAAACGTGTGCCTCCCTCGGAGATCGGGATGGCATGGCATGGGATGGGACCTTATCGTCAGCAGGTTCTGAATCGTGTCTCTACCTGGGTCTCCAGAACTCCAGAGCTACAGAGCTGCAGAACTCCAGAACTCCAGAACTCCACACTCCACGCGCCTCGCTTTGCAGTTCAGCAATTTAAATTGCCTCCACGAGCATTTTGATGGCGATCACGCGCCCCCTTTGAAATCTCGCTGCCCAATCTGCGCCATAAAGGATCCGCAGACGACGTCGACGAGTCCGTTCTGTTTTTGTTCCCTGTCATACATCCACCGATACTGTCTTCTTTTTACGACTGCTGTCTCTGGTATTAATTTTGTTTCAGCGTTTTGTTACTGGGCCTTAATCGTCACCGTTTCGTTTGGTACTCCCGGCTCATTCGGTGCCTTTGGTCAGCTAACACGTGTAGTTGGCATCGAGACCTCCTTCGGTGCACAGTTGGTGCATCATCACAGAACACACCGCAAGCTAGATGGTTTTTCTCTGCGTGTCTTGGGGTTTCAGTTCCACGTTGAGTGGGCGTAACACAAGGGCGATCTTGATAAGGAGCTCTCCGCTCGTTTGATGGAAGACAATAGAGTGCCGGAAATAATTGTCAGTGGAATGATTAGGGCTGCTGGCCCATAGGACAGCTACCTGTCTTCACGGGGCTAATGAAGCTGGAGAATCAGCGCCATCCCAGTTGGGTTAATTAAAAATTCAAAGAGCCAGCCAGGATGTTCGCTACCGTTAGATTTGGTGTGAATTTATTCACCTGGCCGCTGGGATTTATTTATTCATGAGATTCCTTTTGCGCAGGCGACAGGAAACTCTTGACGAGGTGTTGAATGCCCAATTTTCGAAGCCCACGGCCTGGAAATTACCTAACCCACGCACGCCGTGATCCTCGCATATCCTCGCCGATCCTGGCTCGCCATTGTTCTAGCTCGCTTATGACATAATGAGAGCAGCCAGCCAGCCAGGACTTGCGTGAATCCTGCCAGCGGCGAACGCAATGTTATGCAATAGCAGCGGCGAGGCTGGTGCCATAAAACCAAGGCTCTCGGGACCCTAGGACCTAGATGACCTAGATGGCCCATAAAAACGGCCACTGAACTACATTCGCTGCCTGGCCAGTCCATTCCATTTCTGTTGCTCGACCTGAAAAAATCTGCGCACATTTGTTTATGGCATGTTGTTAAAAAATTCAGGACATCGAGAGCGGGTCCGCATTTGGGTCTCTTCGTTTTTCGGGATGGCAATTTACGCAATTCCGGGCAAAAAAGAAGGCCAAGGCACCCGCTGTTAATTCCGCGAAGTATTTTTGCATTTTGTCTTTTTTTTCCAGAATTTGTGTCGTCCTGCGAACAGGATCATGGAAAACAGGATCACGTCATCTCTGCTGG